GCACCTACTTGGGTGAGGGACAGGGCAGCCCCAGGGCATTGCCTCTTCTTTTCTCTGGGATGCAGAGGTCATGCTGGCTGGTTCCCAGGCAAATGGAAAGACAGTAGTGGGGACAAACTCACCTGAGGATTGTGCAGCAGGAAGGCTACAATCCAATGCACCACAGAGACTGTGGTCTCCACACCAGCTCCAAAGATGTCCGCCATGGTGGCAACAATGTGATTATCTGAAAACATATTTGAATCCAGGTCTGGGCCACTATTGTTATTCTCTGCATTCATCTTGGCTTGCATGAAAATGTCCAGCATGTTGGTGATACAGTCACTGTTGAATTTCTCCTGGGTTGGGGAAAGTTGAGACTGATAAGGAAAGAGCTCCACCTGCAGCACTCCTGCCATACTTCTGTTACACTAGTCAGGGCCTCTTACACTTGAAAGTGAGGTAAGACTAGCAGGATCTATGTTTACGTAGGTAGGAGAAAGCACTGTGCCTTCTTTAAATTTGAGGGGTAGACAGATGCCATCTAAGCTCCTCCTTTATTTCTTACTTTACCACTTCCATTCATTAATTGGGTCAATTTGTATTGTGCATCTACTATGTGCCAGACTCTGCTAAGCTCTGCAGATATTACAATGTCCAAAATGTACCCCAGTCCTGTTCCCAGGACATTTTCAAACATACTCATATTTTTCTCTTTCTTTCTTCTTTTTTCTTTCTGGTATTGGGAATTGAACCCAAGAGTACTTTACTACTGAGCCATATCCCCAGCCCCTTTTATCTTTTATTTTGAAATGGATCTCACTAAGTTGCTTAGGGTCTTGTTAAGTTGCTGAGGCTGGGCTTCAACTTGCGATCCTCAGTCTCCTGAGTCTCTGGGATTACAGATTTGCACCACTATGCCTGGCCACTTCACTCATACTTTCATCTTCTCAATCACCTACCTTGTGCTTTTTCATTATTTGATTCAGTATTGCATCTCGCACATCAACACACCTCTTTAGCATTTCCAGGGTCTTATTGGGAAAAATCTGGGGAGTAGAAAGAAATGTCAAATCCACTCCTCTTCCACTTTGCTATTCCATCTATGAGAATCCATCCTACAGATCCTAGCTTTCTGTCTCAGGAGAATTTCTACTCTAACCTTACCTTCAGCCTTAATGAAGGACAAGATGGGGACACAGAATGGGTTCCTCAGGGACAACTCCAAGAAGAGAGAAGGGTACAGATTCCTCTTCCCAGTTAACCAAACATCAAACCCTGATTACTATGTGCGGAGTTCTTTAGACTAAGATAAATTTGAGTCTGAAGACAAGGGCAAGTTCCTTAACCTAGTTAAGCCTGTTTTCTCTTCTGTACAATGAAGATAATAAAACATACCTCCAAGGGGAATTCAATGATTAATGTTTCTAGAGTGCTTAATACTGGCACACGACAATTGGAAAATAAATGAGAGCCACTATCATGAGTTTTATTAAGATTCATGATTCAAAAGGCAGATCCATTTGTATAGAGAAGTGGCCAAGGTTGTATGAGGCAGAGGTCACTGGCTGAGGAGGTCAGGAAAAAGATAGGTCTGGAGACAAAGAAGAATCAGGGACACTGTCTGAATTTGCTGGGATCTGAAGGTGTCATTTGGCTTCATTCTCACCTTCAACCAGGGGAACATGTCCACCAGAGTTTCATCTCCCAGACTCTCCAAGATACTTCTACTGAAGTTCCTTATGGTTCTCAACTCTGGATCCTCAGTTTTGTAGGAGATGTTGAAGCAGATGATGCAGATTACGTTAAGTATAGCCATGAAGACAGGAAAGGACAAATCTATGACTTGTCCATGGCGGGTGGCCAGATGATCACACAATGCACTGGCTTCCCGACATACTGAGGGGAGAGAGAGGCGTGAGGGTGGGGACTGCATTTGCACCCTGGCCACCCTCTACCAGTTCCTTTTTAGCCAGGGTGGGGCAGAGATAGCAATTAGCCACTAGATGGTAGCAATCGACAAGAAAAGACTGAAATAAACCATCCCTAACCCTTTCCTCCTCCCCAGCCCTCTTTTCACTCCCAGCTCCTGTGTGATCAGCTCCAGCCCCCGGCACCATCCCAGCACTCACTGATGTTCTCCAGCTTCTGGTCGCCCTCCCTGAACAGGGCAAAAGTGCCCAGCACTAGCTTCCGGTGCAGCTGCCATTGAGTGTTGGAGTCAGCAAAGGCAATGCCCTTCCACTGGTCTGACAGGAGGCCTAGAGTTACCTTTGGAGAGCAGACAAGGCTGTAGGACTCACACACCATCCACCCACCCCTTGCCCCAGCCCTACTCCCCCAGCCCCTCTCCATTTCTGGGGGAGAAAGCAGGTACCTGTTGGTGCTGACTCCCATGTGGGGATATCTCTGTTCTATTCCACCATGACTGTTAGGTCTTGATAGGACAGACTAAAGCCCTCTATTTATGGGAGTAATTAGCACCAGGGTACTGAGATGGGGCACTGGGAGTATTTCTGGGATAGCTATCCAACAGCAAGCTCAATGGGTCAACGCAGTCCTGAAATGCTACTGTAGGTCAGTTGTCCACCCCCTTGAACTGGAGCCATGGGGATAGTTCCAGAGAAATAGCAATCTCACTGGTCTAGGAGTCAGGGTGCTTCTCCCCAGTAACTTCCCAAGTGGGAAAGAATCACTGCCCCCATTTTCCACAAAGAATAGCCTCAACACTGGCTATTTATTGAGCACTTCGTGCTGGGGCCAGACTAGGTGCCTTATATAACCTTAAATTAGGACCAGAGAGATTATCATCTAGTTCAGGGGTGAAATGAGCGGGGTGACAGATCCACAACCCCTCAGGACCACACACCCACCCCACTCCACTCCTGGGCAGCCCATTCTAGAGGACCTCCTTTAATTCTTCCTTCCTAATTTAGAGGCTAGGGGAGTTTGAGGAGTTCCTCCCCTCTTATCCACCCCCAACTAGTCTGATTTTGAAAGAATATTAAGAACTGCACAACCCCAGGTGGGGGGAAGGGAAGAAGAATGGACACTGCTTACCACAGGGGGCCGCCCGGAGAATTCCTTGCCCTTCTTGACAAGCACCTCCTTGGCTAGCTGGTGGTTGCCAATAATCACTATAGTCTTGGTGCCCACACGAAAGGAATAGATGGGTCCGTATTTTTTCTGCAGCTTGAAAAAGCTGACGTGCTTGTGGCCATGTCTGGGGAGGAATGGCAGGCTGCCCACCAGGGGCAGGTATGGGAGGCTCTTGGGATACTTGGCCCCAGGAACCCTTACCTTGGACCAAAAGACATAGGCCAGGGTGAGCAGCAGAAGAGCCACGAGCTCCCACATGGTGGCGAGGTGCCTGGCAGGCAGGAAGGATAGCTGGGGCAGGAGAAGCTGTAGCAACTTTAGGGTGCCAGGAGGCCTTTTTAAGGGCTTCTCTGATCTTTACCTTGAAATTCTGTTATCTCTTGGCTTGTGAAAGTTAATCCTGGAGCTGAGCCAGGCCTGACCTCTCTCCAAGAACCAGGATATGAGGGGTAGGGGAGGTCTCTTCAAGGGCTGGCTCAACTGGAGGGCAAACCAGTGGAGGAGGAGCTGGATAAGGCAGGACAGCTGGTCTCCTCCCTGGAACTCTTCAGCCATGGATAACCCCAGAGTGCACCAGAGGCAAATGGTATCTGAATTAGCAATCAAGGCTTAGGACTTTCCATGTTGTAAAATCAAAATCAGAATCATCGGAGAGATAACAATGTCAGCAGAATTACAACTCACTGGGCCTGTCAGAGACACTTCATCCAGTCTATCATTTAATACTAGAGAAAAGTGAGGTCAGATTAAAGACACGTGAAGTGGTGGCAAAGTCCCACATGTCCTAATTCCTTGGTAACTGCTCTTTCCAGAGGTGTCGATGCACAAGCATTGAGAGCACCACTCCAAGAGCCAGACAAGTTTGGGTTCAAGTTCTAGCTTGGTCATTTTTTAGCTATATGATCTTGGGTGAGTTACTTAACTTATTTTGAAAAAAATGCTTTTATTATGTGTGTATTTTTAAAAATTTACTGATTTTCTGGGTTTTTTTGTTTGTTTGTTTTTGTTTTTTTCATGCTGGGGATTGAACCCAGGGCTTCATGCATACTAGTAAAGTGCTCTATCCCTGAGCAACATCTCCAACCTTCTATTATATTATTATTTATTTTTTATTTTTTGGTACTGGGGATTGAACTCACTCAACCACTGAGCCACATCCCCAGCCCTATTTTGTATTTTATTTAGAGACAGGGTCTCACTGAGTTGCTTAGTGCCTCACAGTTGCTGAGGCTGGCTTTTTCTTTTCCTTTTTTTTTTTTAATTTTATTTTTTTTAGTTGTAGTTAGATACAATATTTTTATTTTATTTATTTGTTTTTATGTGATGCTGAGGATGGAACCCAGTGCCTCCCACATGCTAGGTGAGTGCTCTCTCTACTGCTGAGCCACAACCCCAGCCTCTGAGGCTGGCTTTGAACTTGTGATTCTCCTGCCCCTACCTCCAAAGCTACTGGGATTACAGGCATATGTCACCCCACCCAGCTACTATATTATTTTTAATGATTGAATTCTATTGTGTATATACCAAGTATATGCCTACCTAATTTAACTGATCCTGTATTGTACTGAACATTTAGGTTGTTTCTAATTTTGTCTTTGTTGTTGACATAAACAACATTAAGGAAGCAACTTGGAGTGAAATCTTTGTGCATAACCATTAATATTTTCTTGTAGGATAGAATCCTAAAAGGGGAGTTATTGGTCAAAGGCTATGTATGCATATTTTAAAGATTTGTAACAAATATTTCTGAGTTGCATTTCATTAATATATTTCTTGGTATTCAACCATTCCTAGAACAATATTAAATTTTTTCAATGTCTTCATTTAACACAATTGAATTCTCTTGTGATTTGCTTAGGCTTTCATTTCTTTTGTATCTCTGTTCATATGAAAAATTGGATTGTAGTTTTCTTATTTGTGCATTGCCAGGCTTTGGTAATATGATTTTGCTAGTTTATACATTTATCTGAGAAACATTCAATCTTTTTCTATGTCCAATATAGAGAAAATATGTTGAAAAGCCAGGTGTGGTGGTGCATGTCTGTAATCCCAGTGACTCAGGAGGCTAAAGCAGGAGGATCAAAAGTTCAAAGCCAGACTCAGCAATTTAGCAAGGCCCTAAGCAACTTAGAAAGATCCTGAAGGGAAAGCGAGGAACGAGAGACGGGTAAGTGAGAAATGAAAAACAGAGACCAGGCAGAGATACACACGAGAATTTATTTGTCAGAGCTGACAAATAAGGGCCATCTCTCTATAGGAGAGAGAGGCAAAACAGGCTTGGGGTCTGGGATTTTTATAGGGCAGGCTCAGGAATCAGAGCAGAGGAGGTCCTCATACGGGCAGTTAAGGGTTGGGTTGGTATGAGGGAGTGGTGACCCTTTCTCAGAAAGACCCTTGGGTGAGAAAGCAAGGCTGTCACCTAAGATGGTTGCACAGATGCTAAGCAAGGACCTTATATTCCTTGATTTTTTGTTTTTATTTGGCCCCTTAGGGAACAGGATGTAGGTCAACCTTCTATAACTGCTTCCTGCTAGGAAGGGACAGTGTTTGAATCATTTGGGACTATGATGGAGGTTGAGTGGTGATAGAATGCTGTCCTCAGTGGCCCAATTTTGGTGAGGGATTGGTATTGCTTCAGCAGAGGAGAGCTGTTGCTGTTCGAGGTCCTGTTTTATCTTGTCCTTTACTATACCAGGATGATTGACATAAAAATAACATTCCTCCTGTAGATACAGATAAAGTCCGCCTTTTTCAGCTGTAAGAAGGTCAAGGACTCTTCGATTCTGCAGAACCACAGCAGCTAAAGAATTAAGCTGGGATTATATGGTTAGTATGACTTGAGCAAGTTGCTGTAAGTCTCCTAGAAACTGGAATGGTAATTCCTGGTAATGGTACCCCGGGAGGTGAGAGCAGAATGAGGGAGGAGGGCAAAAATGAAAAAGGGAAGGGTGGTACTTGTGGTTCTTCAGTGTCCTCGTGGTCCTCAGAGACAGAAGGAAGATTGGGGGGTCTGAGCTTGGAGAAACACAACTTGAGAGGGCCTGTGGGTCCCACTGCATAAGATAATGGAGAGGACTGTTTTTAATGGGAGTTATGAACTCAATATGGGATGCCCTCGAGGCAGGTTGCTGAGGGAGTGGTGAGAATGACCCAATAGGGTCCAGTCCATTTTGCAGAGAATTGAGAGGAGGAGGGGGCCTGTTGGGGGGTAGTAAAAAGTACCAGGTCGCCAGGAGACAGAGTGGGAGAAGGGGACGAGGCAGAACTAGGCTTTGCCAAACAGCATCGCTGTATTACTAAAGAAGTTTCCTAATGTATGCAAGAAGGGGCCAGAAAAGATGAGGAGTAAGGGGTAGTGGAGAATCAGAGAGTGGTGAGCTGAGCAGGGAGATAGGCCGTCCATATAGAAGCTCAAAAGGGGAGATGTTGAGTGGCTTCTTTGGGAGGGCCCATAACTTAAGAAGAGCTAAGGGAAGGAGTTTAGTCCACTCTAAATGTAATTGAGGGAGGCTCCCTTTGCCAAAGTGAAGGCTCTGATGAGGGCAACAAGTTCAGCCTGCTAATTGGATATAGTATGGGGGAGGGGAACTGCTTACACAACCAAGGTTAGAGACTATAGCACACCCTGCCCTACAAACTTCCTGAAGGAAGAAGCCATCTGTGAACTATGTGTGTGTTGCCTGGAGCAAGGGGCCTTCCTGTATGTGGGAGGGATGTGGAAGAAACTCCTCCAGAGTTTCAATGCATGGATGGGTAAGAGGAGAAGAGGTGGAAGAGTCCTGAGGAGCGGGTAGGAGAGTGGCAGGGTTTACTGGTGAGCATATGTGGAAAGTAAGACTGGGATCTTCCACCAGGGAAACTTGTAGAGATAAAAGGCAAGGCGGGGGTGAGGGGGGTAAGGAATGTAAGCCCTTGTAGGTGAGGAGTTCCTTTAGGTGATGGGGAGCCAGGATGGTGGGGCCTCAAAGGTAAGTTTCTTTGACTCGTTAAAGAGTAGAGAGGCTGGGGCCAACATTCATAGGCAAGGGGCCCATCCCCGAACAGTAGGTTCAAGATAAGCCACAGGGGCAAAGGTTGGTCCCAGCATGTGTCCAAGGACCCCTAGAGCAAATCCCTGCTTTTCAGCCATGTAAAGATGAAGTGGGTGTTGGAGATCAGGGAGATGGAGGGCAGAGGCCTGGAAGAGGGCCTGCTGGAGCCTGGTGAAGGGCTCTGTAACAGAGTACAATAGGGGTTCAGAGAGTGCACCCCGGACTGCATCATACAGATGCTTAGCCAATATAGAGTAGTTAGGAACCCAAGTTCTGAGGAATCCCGCCATACCTAGAAAGGAGAGAATTTCTTCCTTAGTATAGGGGTTGATATATTAGTGATAAGACCCTTTCTATCAACTGTAAAGGCTTTGTGTGTAGGGGTCAGGAGGAGGCCTAGGTATGTTACCATTGCCAAGGAAAGCTATATCTTGGATGGAAAAACCCTATAGTCACAGGCAGAAAGAAAGCTAAGAAGTTTACAGGTATCCTGATGACTGACCTCAAAGGAGGGACTGAAAAGAAGGCGGTCATCAACACACTGTAGCACCATAGACTGAGTGAGATGTATGGATACTAGGTCCTTAGCCAAGGCCCTGTCAGAAGACATGAGGGCTGTCTTGGAACCCTTGGGGGAGAACTGTCCACATCAGCTGAGTGGAGTTACAAGACTCAGGGTCTGTCCATGTATAGGTGAAAATGTCTTGAGAGAATGGAGGGGAATAGAGAAGAAGGCATCTTTCAGGTCTAGTTCTAAGAAGTAAAAGGTCCCGAAGGAATGGTGGAGAGAAGGGTATAAGGATTTGTTACCATGGGATGAATTGGGATGACCGCAGAGTTGATGTAACAGAGGTCTTGGATCAAGGCTTTTTTGCTGCCTTGGTGTTATAAGGGGAATGAGAAGGTCTAAGGAATCCCGTTCACAAGATGTCTTGAATGATAGGCTGGAGCCTAGGAGTTTTTGTCGGGAGAGTGGGTATTGTGATTGGGCCAAAAAATGGAGGGGGATCTTTGAGACGGATATGAATGGGCTCGTGGTGTGAGGAGATAGGACTTGAAAAATCCCAGAGAGTAGGGTACACCTTAGAAGGGGGTAGTGGGAAGGCACTGGCAGATGGAATAGGGGATGGTCCTAAGGTAAAGGTGAGGATCAGGGGAGTGGCAGGCAAGTCTGGATGGAAGCGTATATGAGGAGAGAAGGAAAGTGTAGCCCCCAACTTTGTGAGGATGTCCCTTCCCATAACCAGAACAGGGCTCTATGGAATGACCAAAAAAGAGTGAGTAAAAATCAGAGAGCCAAAAACACAAACAAAGCTAGGTGTCTGTAAGGGTTGGTAAGGTTTACCATCTACCCTAACAATAGAGGTCATAGAATGAGTACTAGGTCCCCAGAACTCCTTGAGGACTGAATATGTAGCCCTGGTGTCTCGGGGGGAAGGAGACAGGCATAGCTGAAATACACAGAGTTACCCTGGGTTCCTGTGGAATGATGGTATTGGTCGGGTGATGGGGACCTGGGCCTCGTCAATCCTCTGCAGCCAGTCCTAAGAGTTGGAAAGGGGAACCAGAAAGACCGGATGGCCAGGTGCCACTATAGGCTTGGGGACAGTCAACGACCCAGTGTCCCTTCTGATGGCATTTAGAACAAAGGCCCTGAGGCTTGTGAGGCTTAAGACTTGTACAAGCCCAGTGACCCATCTGACGACATGTAAAACAGGGTATGGGTGGTCCTGAGGGACCCATCCGCTGGCCAGTGGAACCAGGGGCAGATGCTAAGGCCAGACAGACAGACTGAGTGAGCATCTCTCTCATTATACACCTTAAAGGCCACTTCCAGAACCTCAGCTTGGGGAGTTAGGAGCCCCCTCTTGAGGCGCCTTAGTTTGGCCTTAATATCGGGGAAACTCTGGGAGAAAAAGTAGGTCATTAGTAGTTGTCTCCCATCTGGAGTCTCAGGGTCCATATTAGTGTATTGTAATAAAGCCTTGGTCAGGGGGTCTAAAATGTTGAAGGGTTTTCATTCTTATCTTGGAAGAGTTCCTGGAGCCTTTCATAACTAATAGCCTTATGGGATGAATTGGTTTCTACTAGTTACTCCTCTAGGTGAATTGTAATCCCAATTGGGGTCCCAATCAGAGACTGCTTCAATGCCAATCAGATAGGCAGGGGAGGTCTGATATACCTCATCAGCATAATTTCTAACTGTGCTCCCAAACTCACCTGTGCTCCTCAGGCAGGAGGGTGTTAGATAAGATCATATGGACATTGTGGAAGGTCAAATTATATGATTGGGTCAGAAACTGAAACTCTTTGTTATATGTGGGGAGACTTGAAGTATAGGACCTAAGCTGCTTTTCTGACAAAGAGAAAGGCACATGAACCTGGATTACACCATCTACCCCAGCCACCGGCATAGAGGACACAGAGATGCAGGTTAGGCAGTGGCAGCCTGTAAGTGTGTGGCAGGAGGAGAAAAGGGCAGAGGGGCCGAGGGGACAATTGCTGCAGAGGTTTCATTAGAAAGAGAATTGTGGAATGGACAGGGCTCATCTGCTGGGTTGAAGGAGGAGGAGTCCCTGGTAGGATCTTCTGTCCCTTTGGAATCAGGCATAGGGGAGGTGAGAGCTGAGAGGACTTGTGTGGGAGAGCAAGTGCTGCAGAGAGAGGGCTTAGAATGGAGAGAAGGCCTGAACGTAGATATCTCTTTCCATTTTCCCAAGTGCTCACAATAGTTGAAAAGATCCCTGATAATATTGGAGTCTAGAGTGCCATTAAGCAGCCATTTGGAGTTGTTATCCAAAGGATATTGAGGCCAGATCTGATTGCATGAGCAGATAAGCTTTTGGGGGGTTTAGGTCCAGGGTGAGAGAGAGAGACATAGGTTAGTCAGGAGGCAGCTAGGGGACTATGGGAGGGAACAGATGAGGTGACTTTAGAGGTGGGGTGAGACATAGGAGGTGAGTTTAGAGGTGGGGTGTCCCCCAGTCTCTAGTATCACCTAGTCAAAAGGACGGTTATGCTCAGGGGGTCATCACTACTGCTGGGTAAACGTTGGGGCAGGAGCCTGTAGAGGCCCTTGGGTGCCTGGCTGGGACTATATAGTAGAGGCAGAAGCCTGTAGAAGGGGCAGAAGCCCGTAGAAGGGGCAAAAACACCCATAGAGATTAACCCGAGGCCGAGAGGTCAGCTCACCAGGAACAACTACCAATCATCCTCAGTGTTGTTTTTTTTTTTTTCTCAAAATATAGGACCCAAATAAAAGACCACTTATAGACCCAGTTGACAGTAGGGATCAGCTGTAGCTGTGAAAGCTGTGGCTCAGGATGCCCCCAACCACATGGTAACCCTGGGAGTGCTGCACAATCAATGGTCACTTCCCGGGACACGTAGTTCGTTTAGGTTGACCGGAGACAAGGGTCTTACCTGAAATGTCTGGTGGTGGGTACAGAGAGGGCATTCAGTAAAATGGAGGGCCTGGTCCCATGATGGAATGCAGATCAGGGCCCAGTGATGCTTGGTGACCCTTGAAGAAGGGAGCGGGCACTCCGGGGAACCTGATCCCCGGTTTCGGCACCAAAATGAAGGGAAAGCGAGGAATGAGAGATGGGGAAGTGAGAAATGAAAGACAGAGACCAGGCAGAGATATACACAAGAGTTTATTTGTCAGAGCTGACAAATCGCCATCTCTGTAGAGGAGAGAGAGAGGCAAAACAGGCTTGGGTTCTGGGACTTTTATAGGGCAGGCTCAGGAATCAGAGCAGAGGAGGTCCTAATGCAGGCAGTTAAGGGTTGGGTTGGTATGAGGGAGCCTTTCTCAGAAAGGATCTTGGGTTGGTATGGTGAGCCTTTCTCAGAAAGGATCTTGGGCGGGAAAGCAAAATTTTTTCCTTAAAATGGCATCTGTCACTTAAGATGGCTGTCCAGATGCTAAGCAAGGACCTTATAGATCCTGTCTCAAAATAAAAAATAAAAAGGGTGGGGATGTTGCTCAGTGGTTAAACATCCCTGTGTTTGATCTTCTGAACCTGCTCCCACTGCCAAAAAAAGATTAAATATCATGAGAAGAATTATCCATTCTTTGAGACTGTAAGGAAGGATGGGCATGAGAACAATCAGTCCTAGTACCTTTTGTGGGGATACAAATCTAATGAAAACATCCAGTTTCTTCAATAGTTATTGATCTTCTCAACTTTCTGACTCTACTTGAGTCAGTTTTGACAATTATATATTTCTTAAAATTTTGCATTTTCTATCTTTTCTTCACTTGTCAAAGAGTTTATTCATCTTTCTGAAGACTCTCCTTTTGCATTTATTCAGAGACTGGTTGTTGTGGTTTTGTTTTGTTCTCAATGTTGGATCATACGGTTGCTATAGTATAAACTGGAACATCCTCCAGAGGCCCATGTGTTAAAGGCAATACTAAAAGTAATGCCTGAGGCACTACTAAGAGGTGGTAGAACCGGAAACAGGTGGGGCCTAATGGGAGATCTTCTGCTCACTGGAGGCATGCCCTCAAAGGAGATAGTGGGATCCAAACTCCTTCCTTTCTCTCTTTCACATCCTGCCCATGAGGTGACTAGCTTTGCTTTCTTATGTGCTGTCCGTCCTGTACTCCTTGCCATGATGTACTGCTGCCCCACAGGCTCAAAAGCAATGAAGTCAACTGGTCACAGACTGAAACCTGAAACTATGAGCCAAAGTAAACCTTTTCTCTTTACAAGTTGATTAGATAAGGTATTTTGTTACAGTGATGGAAAGCTCACTAATACAATGATCAATGTAAAATATTCTGTGTAGCTTTATAGCATAATTTAGACTGAAAACTTGTATTAATTTCACTACGCTTATATTCCTCTTTTTCCTTCTTTGTCTGAAACAAAGTTCATTTTCTTCTAGAGCTGAACCTTTGACTTGGCAACTCCATTCTGAGTGTATACAACAGAATGTGTGAATATGTTCACCAAAAGGCAAGTTCAGGCTGGGGATGCAGCTCAGTGGTAGAGCATTTGCCTAGCATATGGGAAGCCCTAAGTTTGATCCCTAGTACTGTGGGGGGGAAGTGTTCATAGCAGCACTATTTGTAATAATCCAAAACTAGAAAACAACCCTCATATTTATCAATTATAGAATGGATAAATTGTCAAAAACCATCTACAGCAGAATATATACAGTGATGAGAATGAATGAACTACAACTACTTGCACGAACATGGATGGATCTCACGAGCATAATACTGTATGAAGAAGCCACACAGGTAAGAATGTATACTGTATTGTTTTATTTATATAAAATTTTAAAACATAAACCAATTCATGGTTATATAAGTTAAGTGGCTAAAATGGGGGTGGTGGCACACACCTGTAATCCCAGAAACTGGGAAGTCTGAGGCAGGAGGACTGCAAATTCAAAGCCAGCCGGGGCAACTCAGTGAGACTCTGTTTCAAAATAAAAAGGGCGGGGGGATGTAGCTAAGTGGTAGAGTGGCCAAAGTTCAATCCCCAGTACCGAAAACAACAACAATAACAAAACAAATAAAAAGCTGAACTGAAAATGATCAATTCATTTTCATAATTCTTCGGAAACTTCAACGTTATTATTTCTGTTTTACAAAAGAAGAGTATAAGACGCAGCAGTTGAGCCATTTGCAACTGCTAAATGGTAGAACTGAGATTGTAATTCAGGCCTTCTGATTCTAAACCATCAATTTTACTAAAGTTATCCTCCATGTCCAAAAGAGATGTTTGCTTGGGCCTTGTTTTCCTTAGGCTGTCAATTTGAGTATTTTAAATGTGTTTAGTTAGTAACATCTGCTAGGCGCATGCGTCTCTTCCTTTTCCCGCAATAGGGTGGAGGGGAAACGCCTCCTCTTTCCCTTACGCTTGCCTGTTTTGGCCCCGGTGGCTCGCCATCATTGGCGAAGACATTCGCTAGGATGGCGACTGGAACCCCGGATTCGCAAGCACGATTTGGTCAGTCAGTGAAGGGGCTTCTCACTGAGAAAGTGAACACCTGTGGTACCGACGTGATCGCGCTCACCAAGCAAGTGCTCAAGGGGTCCCGCAGCTCCGAGGTGAGCTGGGAGTGGAAGCTGCCGGCCCACACTCCGGAACGGGCAGTCTTTCGTAGTTGGGTTCGGTCGACGCGTTGCATCCTGGGGCGTGTAGGCTGTGAACTGGTCTCCCGGGGTGGGGCTGGTCCTCGGAGGGCGCGTGTTGCATTCTGGGGTGTGTAGTCTCTGGGTAGGTCTAGCGGCTTAAAGCGAAGAAAGGTGTGATGAGAATCTGCGCTTTTAAAATAGTCCTTAATTGTACTTGGGGTTGTCTCTAGTGAAGATCGGGCCCATTCGGCCCCGGAATTTCTGTATCAGCATCCCAGATTTCTTCCACACTTTTGTGCATCGCCAAGGGATTTATTCCTTCCTGATTTGTCTCTTTGATCACATTCTTGGTTTTCTGGGTTTGGTTTGGTTTTAGAATAGCTTTCTCCTTTGCCTCGTTTTCTCTCTCCATCTTCTGGCTTATTGCATGAATGGAATTATTTGATGGCTTCTCTCACCAAAAAGCTTTATTTATATACACTGCCTCTCCTTCAAGCAGACCTATCTATTGAACTAGATATTCACCCAGGAGAAATGAAAATATATGTCCCCATGGACTGCTGAAAGGATGATGAAACGGGTCCAGTGACCCAGCCTCTCCACTCATAGGTATTTATTCAAGAGAAGTGAAAACATATGCCCATCATTTTGTTTTGTTTTCTTTTTTGTTCATATTTTGTTCATCATTTTATTGGATAAAACAATCACACATTTAATATAGCTAATATTTCCAGTTTTGCTTTTTTTTTTTTTAGAGAGAGAGTGAGAGAGAGAGAGAGAGAGAGAATTTTTTTTTAATATTTATTTTTTTTAGTTTTCAGCGGACGCAACATCTTTGTTTGTATGTGGTGCTGAGGATCAAACCCTGGCCTCACGCAAGCCAGGCGAGCGCGCTACAGCTTGAGCCACATCCCCAGCCCGCCTTCTTTAAAATGGTGTGTGTGTGTGTGTGTGTGTATGTGCGTGTGTGTGTGTGTGTGCGCGCGTGCGTGCTTGCCCGATGAACCCCAAGGCCTCAGGCATGCTAGGCAAGCACTCTACTACTGAGAGCCAAATCTCCAGTCCAAATGTTATGCCCTTAGCTTTACTGAGAATGGCTTCACACAACCAACCAATCAACAAAACAACTATATGAGAAGGTGCTTACATGTTTAATTCCTTCTGTTTTTCATGTCTTTTAGATTCCTTTTCTTTTTTAAAAAAGAAAATTGTGTGTGTGTGTATACATACAAATACATATAATTTGGTATAAATCGTCTAGAATTGTTTTTTGGGGAGAAACATGGTACAAATATGTATAGGACTAGGGATGTGGCTTAGTGGTAGAGTACTTGCCCAGCATATATGAGGCCCTGGGTTTGATCCCCAGCATGACAAAAATAAAAATATGTATAAAACTTAAAAATTGATAATGTTCATAGTTAACCACAGGTATTATTGAAAATCATAATAAACTTAACATTTATTGAGCATTTTCTGTATGCTGGACACTGCTATGTTTTATTTAACTTAAATCATTAAGATGTTATATTGATTGTAAAAATATAATTATTGAAAAAGAAGGTACTTTTCTTACATAGAAGATACAGAGAGTATTTTAAATTGTTTTGGGTCATACCAGCTAGGATTCAAACCTGGTCCTAGGCTCATAAATACTGCCTTTCATGTTATTAGCTCAATTAAGTGATCAAAAAGTTACTGTGCCATCATTGACTGCCCTCATCTTTGCATTCTTCCCCTTATGTATTTTTCACATGGGATTCTGCTGAGGGATATTTAGATTTGTGTTCATAAATTAAATGTGTGGATTGAGCTAAACTAAAATATAGCCGGCTTTCTGAGATAGGATTAATACATCATCTCTCAATTCTCTGAACTTTGTACTGAATCTGTCTCTCTCTCTTTTTTTAAAAAAAATATTTTTAGTTGTAGATGGACACAATACCTTTATTTTCTTTATTTATTTTTATCTGGTGCTGAGGATCTAACTTAATGCCTCCTACTGAGCTACAGCCTCAGCCTGTACTGAATCTCTTACATGACACTTATACCATGTTGCCTTTTCTGTACTTTTACCATTTCCTTTATTAGCCTATGAGGTTATTGGAGTGTCTTTCTGATTTTCAGTCCCTTCTAATCCATAGAGATTGCTTCAGCAGTCTCCACATAGCTATTTGTTTAATTGACAATTTGCACTTGTAAAACACTCATTCCACAGCATTCATTTAACAAATATTTATTAACAAAGAGTTCCTGCTATATGCCAGGAGCTGTTCTAGGTGCAAGGGATAAACAAAACGAAATTCCTATACTTAGAAGAGACAGACAATAAATGAAACACACAAAAAATCAAGAGGTGGTAGATGCTATGAATAAGACTAAATCTGAGAATAGAGAATGATGAAAGGGTTTACCTTCAGCAGGGTGGTCAGGAAAGGGCCTCTGGGGAGGTGACATTTGAGCAGACAATGGAATGAAGTGTGGGAGCAAGCCATGTGGATATCTGGAGCAAAATGTCAAATGCAGAGGCCTTGAGGTGAGGGTGAGTATAAGGAATGTAGGGAGTCCAGTGTGCCAGGAGCAGGAAGTGAGGAGACAGGTGCCCACTTAGGCCTACAGCACAGGAGTGCTTGTCACTAATATGCTATTCTCACACACCTGTCCTATCCAGCTGAGTCATATGCTTAGTGAGGATCCATTGTGTTTTTCCTGAACTGTGTGTGTCCCTTATACTTGTTATTGCAGCTACATAATTGAATGTAATCATATGAAAAAAATAGAGCTGCTATTGCTATGAAAACTAAGATGAAGATGGGGTTGGGGATATGGCTCAAGTAGTAGATCGCTCACCTGGCATGCATAAGGCACTGGGTTCGATCCTCAGCACCATATAAAAATAAAAAATAAAGATATTATGTCCACCTAAAGCTAAAAAAATAATTATTAAAAAAACTAAGATGAAGAATCAGAAATACTTGTTGCAGATGAGTAGCTAAAACAAACTTATTGAGTTTCCGTGCTCAGATTGTTTTTTTTTCAGGTATATTCAAGATGTTCCATTTTAAAGAAGGCAAAGCTGGAAGTCTTAGATGATAGATGTGTTGTTGGTTTATGTAAGAAAATGATGCAGAGTGCTAGTAAGTACATCTGGTCATCAAGGATAAGGCCTTGGCCCTGCATTGCGACAGCCCCTGCATTCCAGGCAGTTGCACGTTCCATCACATCTATCTTCTAAATGTTTCTCAAATCCCCCTTTTTCACATTCTGTGTTTATTGCTTGTCTGAAGTCCTGTCATGTCCTCTTAACCATTCTGTCTGTCTATATCTTCCTGCCTCCAGTCCATTCTGCTTACCACACTTCTAAAATAGTAAATCTAATAATTCTATTTTTCTGAAAAATTACATGTAAAATGAGTCTAAATCCTAACCTTTACATCTCAGCTTAGAAATTGCTTCTTTAGGAAGCCCTCCCTGAATAGCTACCCTCCTAATAAGCTGGACATCCCTGCTCCCACATGCTCCTTAAGTACCCACTGCTTAAGTACCCCTGTCAATACTTCCCTCAAGATATTTTAGTGCCTATGACTCTGTTGCCCCTCCAAAATTGTGAGCCCCCTTATTACTCTTATTCAGAGAACTGATATATTCTAAGTACTCAAAAAATATTTGTTGAATGAATAACATTTTATTAATATCCTTTCTTTATGCAATTAGTTTGTCACTCACTATCCCCCATCTATAGGAGTCTGAATTGTGTTACTTTAAAGTGGCTGTAGAGGGGTTGGGGATATAGCTCAGTTGGTACAGTGCTTGCCTCGCATGCATAAGGTCCTGGGTTCAATCCCCCAACCCCCAAGAAAAGGTGACTGTAGGGATATGGCAGCATCACTCAATGGTATAGTACATGCCTAGCTCGGGCAAGATCCTGGGTTCAATCCATAGCATTGAAAAAAAATAGAAAATAGTGGCCATAGGAGTGGAACACACACTTTCATACATTATTGGTGGGAATGCAAAGTGGCACAACCCTGGTGGAGGGGATTTGGTAATATTGTAGCAAAACTACATATAATAATCATGATTCTATGAGTCTGTCCCAAAGGTAAGCTAGCAAAAATGCAGATATACATAAGAGTTCCTTGTAACACTTCTTTCAATAGCAAAAGACTGGAAACAGCTGGGTGTAGGAGGCGTGACTTCAAAGCCAGCCTCAGCAATGGCAAGGTGTTAAGCAACTCAGTGAAACTCTGTCTCTAAATAAAGTACAAAATAGGGCTGGGGATGTGGCTCAGTGGTCAAGTACCTCTGAGTTCAATTCCCGATACCAAAAAAAAAAAAAAAAAAAAGACTAGAAACAACCCCAAAGACTGATAGTGTGGTACTTGTAGTTGTAAAAGAATGAAGGACATTCAATATATGTTGCTGCAGATCAATGTGAGGGTTGTATTATGACATGAAAACAGCAGGGTGTGGAAGAATACATATAGTACGTTACATTTTAAGTAAAAACTGGGAGGGAGTAAATACATATTGTTGGCTCTCTATATCTACAGGTTCTATATCCACAGATTCAATCAACTGCAGATTGAAAATGTAGTTACGTCTGTGATGTTTGTGCCTGTACTGAACATGTGCAGATTTTTTCCCCTTGTCATGATTCCCTAAACAATACAGTGTAACTGATTGCATAGCATTTATATTGTATTGTATATTATAAGTAAGTTGGAGATGATTTAAAGGGTACAGGAAAATGAGTATAGATTATAAGCAAATATTGTGGCTTTTTTTTTTTTTTTTTTTTGACATGTAATGCATCTGTTTCTTATCTGGACCCAGAAGTATTTCCAACTGTCAGGGAACAGAGTGGAAAGCGCATATCTGCCTGTGATGAAGTGGCTCAGGCCCACGTATACCTAAAGTTTTTTTTTTGTTGTTGTTGTTGTTGTTGTTGTTTTGTTTTGGTAGCAACACTTTAAAAAAATTTTGTTCTAATTAGCTATACATAACAGTAGAATGCATTTTGATACACTGTACACAAATGGAGCATAACTTCTTATTCCTCTGGCTGTACATGGTATTGAGTCACACCAGTAGTGTAATCATACACGTATATAGAGTAATAATGTCTGTCTCATTCTGCCACCCTTCCCATCCCCGCAGCGCCACCCCTCCCCTCACTCCCCCCCCAATCCAAAGTTCCTTCATTCTTCACTGCCCACCCACCCCGGTGGCATTTTAAATAATGGACTTGAGCTCTACAGAGTTTGGTATCCACTGGGGCCGGGAAACAATCATCTGCAGATACCAAGGGACAATTATACAACTGTCCTTGTTTTAAAATGGAACAATGGAAAGTTAAACGAAAAACTAATAAAAATAGCCATGCATGGAGGGTGGGGGAGGGACAGAGATGGAAGGTTTTTATTTTATTGTTCAGACTTCAGAAGTACATAAAGATTTACTAATTTTAAAACTTAAACTGAAAAGAAAAATAAATAAAAGTTTTCCTGGGAGAAGGAATCTGGGAACTACAGCAATACTAATGTTCCTGGTTAATTTGAAATCAGCTCCATTTTCACCAGACTGTCTGCCCTAGGGGAGCAGGGAGGGCTGATAGGATGCACATTACACCTTTACGGGACCGGACTTAGGATGCTGGGAGCAGGGTACACCATGAGGCCAGAAATCTTAGTTGATCTCTGCTTGCCTCTCAGTGTCAATTCAGTCAGCTTTGCTGTGACCTCAGGCCATCCAGCTGAGGCCAAGCTCAGCTTTTCTCTCTTGGTCCCAGGGCCCAGCTATCCGTGAACTCATTAAAATCTGCCTCCACATTTCTCCTTGCTTTTCTTCTCCAACCCCATCTGGCATCTTCCATGTAGTGGTTCCCACTCTAAGCTTGGAGCTTCTTTTCAGGACCCCCTCCCCATCCTTTTTATTGTCTTCCTTTTTTCTTTTTGGTGGTGCTAGGCTTGTACGCTAGGTAAGAGTTCCAGCACTGAGTTGCATTTCTAGACAGATCCATTCCCCCTGTCTTTTCCAGCCTAGCCTCAACTCCTGCTACCTCACTACTCTCAAACTACCACAGATTCCAAATTTGCTTTTAAAGAATCAAGTCAGAGCCATGCGCAGTGGCACACACCTGTAATCCCAGTGGCTAGGGAGGTGGAGGCAGGAGGATAGTGAGGTTCAAAGCCAGCCTCAGCAAAAGTGAGGTGCTAAGCAACTTTGTGAGACACTGTCTCCAAATAAAATACAAAATAGGGTTGGGGATGTGGCTCAGTGGTTGAGTGCCCCGAGTTCAATTCCCAGTTCCATAAAAAAAAAAAGAAAGAAAGAAAGAAAGAATCAGAAGTCAAGTTCTGTCACTGGACTTACGGAGACAAAGGTTTCGTGCTGATTTCTCTTGACACTTGATGAATAAGCTATGCAGAATGCCCTGTGGTCTTGGAGCATTCAGATTCTCAGGAGGTGGCTTTTGGACAGATGTCAAGCCCATGCCAGAACTGCCACAGTGCCAATGAAATGAATTTGCAATACGAACAAATGGAAAGTTCTTCTCCATTATATTATGAACATTTGTGGTTGTGTTCGATGGAGGAGGGCAGGAGGGAGAGGATGGTGGTGAAACAGCTGCACAGAGAAAATTGCAGGAAGTTTGGAACTTTTGATCATTACCATTTTATTCTTGTCTTCCAGCTGCTGGGTCAGGCAGCTCGAAACATGGTACTACAGGAAGATGCCATCTTGCACTCCGAAGACGTAAGAAATAATTTCTTGTATGATTTGGGTTTAGATACATAGTTTGTGTGGCTACCAGGAAGTGGAATATTCTGCTTCTTTCTCTTTTTATATGGATTGGGTTTAGATACATAGTTTGTGTGGCTACCAGGAAGTGGAATATTCTGCTTCTTTCTCTTTTTATGCAGAGCTTAAGGAAAATGGCAATAATAACAACACATCTTCAGTATCAGTGAGTATTCCCTTTCTAGCAACTGCTTGCGGCAAAATTGTCTATAGCCTGCTTTCATTTCTTCTGTGCTTCAGCACATTTTCCCCATGGAGGCAGGGTTGGGAGTGAAGGTGAGGTTGGTCAAGGATGAAATTCCTCTGTGGAGAGAGGCCTGACATTTTAGAAGCTGAGTTAGAGGGTGAGATCAGGAGCATGGGCCGCCTTTTGTGAACCTCCCTCTGTTAATATGAGGACTCCTCAGAGGGATATCCTATAATGTCAGAGCCCATACCAGGACTATGCTGGCACTGTGCTTAGCACCTGGTATTTGTCAACTGTGCCCAGTGTCTCCCCTGTGGTAACTGCTCCTTTACCAGGGAATCAAGTGTAATGGGAATCTTGTCCTACAATCCACATGTTACATGGAACCAGCTGCTGAATTTGAGCCATTCTTCTGGTTTGTTGGACCACTCCCTCATTCTGGAGAGTACTGTTACCTCTTTAGTTTAGAATCCACCTTTTTTTTTTTTTAATAGTTGTAGATAGACAGCATGTCTTTATTTGTTTAGTTCTTTTTTTTTTATGAAGTACTGAGAATCAAACCCAGTGCCTCACACATGCTAGGCAAGCTCTCTGCCACTGAGCTACAGTCCCAGCCCTAGAATCCATCTTTTTTTTTTTTTTTAATGTACATAACTTGACTTTTAATAAAAACCTTTCCCCTTATGAAAACATAATTTTTGCATTATAGATAAATAAGAAATTACAGAAAAGCATGAAAAAGAACATAAAAAATCATTTTTAGAAATATCAAAATTACTTTTGATATTTCTGAGCATTTCTTTTGAAATCATTTTATGAAATGTTAGGGTGATGTGGAAGTTTGAGTGAGCTGCTCAATTTAGCAGCTGTTTATGAATTCCTCAGTAGTATGAAGGGAGTTTTGCTGTGGGAGAAGAGATGTCCAGATCCCCCTCCCCATCACCCCCACAAAGACACTAAAATGCAGCTTCATTGGTAGAATAGGAAAAGGGCATTAATGTTCTTAGGAAATTATCATCTGCAAGGACCTAAAGTTTATTCAACAACTGCCCTTTACTTACTATAGTAACACTGATTGATGGTAATTATTATTATAAACAGTATTATTATTTTATAGGAAGGGACATAGATCCATGGAAGAACTTTGTGGCAACTGCTTCAAGAGTCCTGTGAAAGGAATTCTTCTCTTTTTCTATTGATCATTTCTGACCTCCTCTGTGGTTATATTAATCTGTATGATATGTTTATATATTTCTCATTTTTATAATGCATTGTAAAAGATTTGGTGGCATAATCAGGGTTTCAGAGGTTAGGTTTTCTAAAGTCAGACAGTTTAAAGGAGATGGGGTAAGATGTGGTGTCTTTGTTTAGACTGCTGTGGTAGAATACCATAGTCTGGTGGTTTAAACAAATGTTTAGTTTGCACAGTTCTGGAGTCTGGGAGTCTGAGATCAAGGTTTCCGTGTGGTTGGGTTCTTGATGAAGGCCTTCCTCTTATTTCACAGATGATCATCTTCTCATTGTATCCTCATGTGGCAGGAAGAAAAATCATGTCTCTTTTCCAATGGGAACTACTCCCATGCATGAGAGATTACACGACACCTTCATGTCCTAAATACCTCCCAAAGCCCTCACCCCTAATGTCATCACAGGGGAGATGAGGATTTCTTTCTTTTTTAATTTTTTACATACATGTCAATAGTGGAATGTATTACACTCATTATTACCCATTACAGCACAAGTTTTCGTAACTCTGAATATAAATTATGTTCACGCCAAATTATGCCATTGTACATGTACTCTTTTTTTTTGCATTACAATTCTTAATATACATATATACCACAATTTTTCATATCTCTGTATATAAGGTATACTGACACTGATTTCAAATCTTCTTACATATATTTTGTATAATGATGACCATCATCTTCCCCCATCCTTGCTATTCCCCTTCCCCCTCCCTTTCCCTCCCACCCTTCTTCCCTACCTAGAAATAATCATCCTCCCATGCTCTCCCTTCCTATTCCACTTTGAGTCTCCCACCTTATATCAGAGAAAACATTTGGCATTTGTTTTTTAGAATCCATTTTTTTTAGCAGCTCTGCACTCAGATAAGAATCCCTTATAATAATCTTTGGAGAGGATGGACAGAAATATAGAGTGTGAAATATAGAGCTGGAAATTTGTTCTGCCTGTATATATCTGTATATATCATAAATAACTTCTACTAATTCACCAGGTTTTCTTATGTTTATTTTCCTCTTTCATTTTCTATTTTAGGCAAGAAGCTATTCAGAAGAAGTAAGTAATTCCAAAAGCGGGGAGTGGGGGACCAATTAAAGCAGGCTGGAGAATTGTACTGCTTTACCCAGGATCAGTGTAAAATTCTGGTTGACATATGCCCTTAAATTGGCATGCTCTGAGATAGCTCATTTAGGACTTAAAGATCACAGTATATCTGTGGTGTGGCAGCACATGCCTTTGGCCAGGCTTAGCAGTTGAGTAAGACCCTAAGCAATTTAGCAAGATCCTGTCTCAAAATAAAAAATGAAAAATGGCTAGGAATATAGCTCAGTGGGAAAGTGCCCCTGGGCTTAATCCCCATTACCAAAAAATAAAAACAAAAACAAAACCAGTGTATTTCAGGTCTGGGGATCTAGCTCAGTGGTAGAACACTTGCCTAGCATGTGTGAGATCCTGCATTTAATCCCCTGTACTACAAACAACAACGGAAATTTTCAAAGGCATATAGTAACTCAATTCACTGCTAGTAAGGGCATTCTAAAAATTACAGGGTATAGACCCAACTTTAAGGAATTAAAAAAAAACAAACCCTTTTACATTGGTATTCATTAAGTAGAGTAAAAGTGCTAAAGTCATTAAATAGATTGGCTTTTTTTGTTTGTTTGTGTGATATTGGAGATTGAAACCAAGGCCTCCTGTGTGCTAGGTGAGTGCTGTACTACCAAACTACATCCCCGGTCCTTTTTATTTTATTTTGAGACAAATCTTCCTAAGTTACCTGGTCTCACCTTGAACTTGTGATCTTCCTGTCTTAGCCTCCTGAGTAGCTGGGATTATAGTTGTGTGACCAGCACTAGATGGTTTTGCAAACCTTTCTTAAAAGCTTCAACATTTTTTTCCCCTTGAGATGGGTTCTCACTATGTTGCCCAGGCTGGCCTCAAATTCCTGGGCTCAAGTGATCCTCCTGCCTCAGCCTTCTAAGAAGCTGGGACTACAGGTACATGTCACTACATCTAGTTATTAAAGGAAACACTTCTAGGTATCTGTGGTATGGCAGCACATACACCTAGAAGTATTGGTATTGGTCCCACAAGGGGACCAATATGAATTTTGATTTATCTGTAACAATATTTATTCATTAAAGAATAAAAAGATTATACAAAGAAAATCTTTATTGCCCATCTCAGATAAACCCTTTCTCTATTCTAATTTCTAGTGTTGAACAGTCATCAGATCTACAGGACCAGTTGAATCACCTGTTAAAATAGAATGGTATATAAGAGGGGAACAGCACTTCTTTGCCTGATGCTAAGGAGGATTGTCTTATACAACTTTTGGGCTGTGGGTTTGATTTTCCATTTCATCTCAACATTGCATTTGAAAAAAATTTGTTGATGTATGGTTTCTCCTGAAAAGAAGTTGACAGCATAAAACTTCTACTGTGAACCTTGAAAATAATTAATATTTTTTTCTTTTAGATCATTCAGGACACATTTTTATTTCATGAATATTAATAGGTAATGAATAATGATAGGTAATACCTGTTGACTTGTTCTTTTCTTTTCTATTAACTCAGAGAAGATACTTATCTTATTTGTTGTAGCAAATTCCTAAATGAAAATTAGGTAAATGGTAATCATATCTGGCCAGCTGTAGCCTCTTGCCTTGACCTGCATTCCGTGGGTTCCTTTGTTGTTGTGATTCTTGATTAAATGACCTTGGTTCATTTTGTAATTTTGCTAATTATCAGCAAGTTCACTTGTAGGACGTCATTGCCAAATGTGAAGGGAGATGAATTACTATGAATGATTGTGGCACAGGATTGTATCATGATGAAAACCTTAATATTTGTAGGTATTTACCTATGTTCATTAGATTCTTCTTGTTAATTGACATTCCCATTATCTATAGGAATACTTTGTTTGAAGTTAATTTGGGACTATCCTATTCTAAGGAATTGAGAGAAAGCTGACATGAGAAAGTGTCTTCCCTGATAGAAAAAAAAAAGCAAAATCAATCCAATTTAATTCATATTGTATAATACCAAGTTTACAGATCAAATTACATATGTCTCTCTTTATACACATATGTATGTATACACTTAACTTGTGAAGAATCTGAAAAGTCAATTAAGCATTAATTTTATAAACTTTTACTAACAATTATTTTTAAATGTAAACAGGCTCTACTTACCTTTAAAAAAGAAAAAAAAAAAAAACTAAGTCCAACTATTACAAGAAGTGGTAAAATACTTAAGACAAAAAAAACATTAAAATGGAGGTGTGATCTATGTTTGCTTTGTGTTAGAACAAATGTTAAAGAAGCAGTGATTAGCTGGACATGGTGATACATGCCTGTAATTCCAGCGATTCAGGAGTCTAAGGCAGAAGGATTGCAAGTTTGAGGCAACTCAGCAATTCAGTGAAGCCCTAAGTGATTTAGTGAGACCCTGTCTCAAAATAAAAAATAAAAAGATAATAAAATACTAAAAAAAAAAAAGCTGGGGATGTGGCTCAAGCGGTAACGTGCTCGCCTGGCATGCGCGGGGCACTGGGTTCGATCCTCAGCACCACATAAAAGTAAAGATGTTGTGTCCACCAAAAACTGAAAAATAAAATACTAAAAAATAAAATAAAATAAAATAAAAAAATAAAAAGAGCTGGGAATGTGGCTCAGTGGTAAAGCATCCCTGGGTTCAATTCCCAGTAAGGAAAAGAAAAGAAACAGTGATTGCTTATATTGTATCCAATAAGATAAATTTCATAGTAAATATTGTAATAGTAAAGGTATTTGGGCTGGGATTGTAGCTCAGAGGTAGAGCACTGGCCTACCATGTGTGAGGCACTGGGTTCGATCCTCAGCACCACATAAAAATAACTAAATAAATACATGTCCACCTATAACTAAAAAATAAAATATTAAAAAAATAGTAAAGGTATATAATGAAAATCTAGTAGTAGTGAAATCAGTCACTTTAAAAAACGTAAGGCCAAAATATATGAAAGAAAATAAACAAATAACCAGAAATGTGAGAGCAATAGAAAATGTTACATAATTTTTTAATAGAAATAAATAACATAGATAGAATTCACTAGTGATCAAAAACATGGATACAAAAAATACTTCATTGGTAACATAAGTCATAGTCTGGTGGTTTAAACAAATGTTTAGTTTGCACAGTTCTGGAGTTTGGGAGTCTGAGATCAAGGTTTCCGTGTGGTTGGGTTCTTGATGAAGGCCTTCCTCTTATTTCACAGATGATCATCTTCTCATTGTATCCTCATGTGGCAGGAAGAAAAATCATGTCTCTTTTCCAATGGGAACTACTCCCATGCATGAGAGATTACACGACACCTTCATGTCCTAAATACCTCCCAAAGCCCTCACCCCTAATGTCATCACAGGGGAGATACATATATACCACTCGCACTTCTCCTACCTTAGCCTCCCTAGCCTCTGGGATTACAGGCATGTACCACCTCACCTGGCAATTATCGTTTTTTAAATTAGTTTTTGTGCCAGGTGTGGCAGCACAGAGCTATAATTCCAGGGACTCAGGAGGCTGAAGCAGGAGGATTCCAAGTTCAAGGCCAGCCTCAACAATTTAGTGACTCTGTTGTCAATTGACCTTTATTTTGCTTATTTATATGCGGGGCTGAGAATCAAACCCAATGCCTCACATATGCTAAGTAAGTGCTCTACCACTGAGCTACAAACCCAGCCCAAAGATAGATAGAGAGTACCAAAAATAAAGGATAAAAAATTAGTTTTTGGGGCTAGGGCTGTGGCTCATCGGCAGAACGCCTGCCTCACACATAGGAGGCACTGGGTTCGATCCTCAGCACCACATAAAAATAAATAAACAAAATAAAGATATTGTGTCCATCTATAACTAAAAAATATTTTTAAAAAATTAACTGTGGTAATATTTACATAGGGCTTAATATGAGATTTAGTTTATGTAGTATACAAATAATTTAGTTTAGGTACTATACAGATAATTAGCATATCTGCCATTTATTAGGGGTATTAAAAAAAATAAAGAATGTGGCTTGGGAGGCTGAGACAGGAGGATCACAGGTTCAAAACTAGCCTCAGCAACAGGGAGGCACTAAGCAACTCAGTGAGACCCTGTCTCTAAATAAAATACAAAAATAGGGCTGGGGATGTGGCTCAGTGGTTGAGTGTCCCTGAGTTCAATCCTCAGTACCCACTCCCCAAAATAAATAAATAAAGAAAGAAAGAATGAAACAAGGGTTGTGGGATGTAACTCAGTGGTAGAGCACTTGCCTAGTATGTGCATGACCCTGAATTTGATCTCCAGCATTACAAAAAATAGAAGAAAAACAAAAACAAACCTGTTGATGAGGTACTGACCAATCAGAATGGCTGACAGTCTCAATCTGGTCCAAAATCAGCTCAACACACCAGATACCCTGAGGGAAAAGTGGGAATAACTCATTTTAAGTTTGTGGTAGTTTGCTTAACTGCATTATCTGTGTGTGGTTAAATATTATCAAATGGTTCTTATAAAATGAAGAAAGACTAAACCACAGACTGAAGATAATATAATAAAGCAAGCCCAACTGAAAATGATAGAGCCCTCTCTTTAACCTCCTTCCTGTTAATTAATCTTTTCCTATAAGAAAAAGCTGCTTCTTCTTCTTTTTTTTTTTTGTAACAGGGATTGAACCCAGGGCACTTAACCACTGAACAACATCCCCAGTCGTTTTTAAACATATTTTATTTTGAGATAAGATCTCCCTAAATTGCTTAGGGCCTCACTGGTTGCTAAGGCTGGCTTTGAACTTGCAATTCTCCCGCCTCAGCCTCCCCAGCTGCTGGGATTATAGGTGTGTGCCACCACAGCCCACTAAAAGCTTCTATTTTTAACAAGGAGTGAGAAAGTAACTGCTTTTCTAAAGGAACTCATTCTATGGAGAGAATATTTTGAAAACTAATTATTGAGGACTGTTTCCACCATTACATAATTTCTAGAAAGTGATACCTATATAGATGTTCCTTTTATGAATTTAGTAGTTGTAAAGGGCTGGAGGTGTAGCATTTGCCTAGCTTGTGCAAGGTCCTGAGTTCAATCCCCAGCTCCAGCAAAAATGAAAATTTACTAGCTGAATTTTAACAAACCTTTTATGTACTGGCAAATGAGACTAAAAAGTGAATGTAATTTAGCAAGAGTCTACTTTTTTACAAAGGTACCCTTTCACTTGGACCTCCCTGCCTCCATACCGTCCTGATGATGGAAATGCTTGTTGCAACCACAAAAGGAAATGAGATATATAAATATAATGGTCGGCAATACCCGGAAAACACATGTGAACCGACCAAAAATTACTATAGGTGAAAATGAACTTAACCAAAATTGCTTTCCTAAATACAGCTCAGAATAAATTAAGAATGGCTACATACTGTGTGATTCCATCTACAGGACATCTGGAAAATGTCCTATAGGGAGGGGAACAGATCTGTGGTGGCTTAGGAGCTGAGGGTGAGAGGAGGGAATTTACTACAAAGGGGCACAGAGAAACTGGTATGAGAACTTTTAACCTTGGTGACAGTGATGTACAGGTTTGTCAAAATTCATAGAACTGTACGCTGAAGAAAGGTGAATTTGGTTGAGTGTAAATTTTATCTCAATAAACCTGACTTAAAAAACGGATTGTGGAAAGGCCATTTCATTCCCAAAGGAGATGGAATCGTTCTCTGTCTCTGTGGGTATTCGATGAAGGCAGCATATGTGCTCATGTAAATGAAAAATCACAGCGGAGCATACAGCACATGCTGTAACCACCAAAGGCAACCTCGGGGACTGGCTCCAGCAGGCCTGGGAGGCGACGCGAGGACAGCGGCGCAGGGCAGGGGGCGGTGGGGTGCTTTCCCGCCCGGTTCCCGCCGGCGTCCGGGGTTGGGTCGGGATCCCGCTGGCGGCGCCAGGGCGGGGCCTCGTGCCGGGGCCGAGCTGGCGAGCGCAGGTCCCGGCTCTGGAGCCCGTGAGACAGTGAGTGCGCGCCCCTCGCCCTCAGGCCAGGTCGCAGCCCCTTCTCCTGCCCCGGCCCCGCCACTGCCACGCGGGAGCCGCCCGCTGTCCCCTGCAAGCCCTCCGCCCCCCGCGAGGCGCGCCGCCGGCCCCTCAGCCAGCCCTCCGTCCCGTCGCCCCCGCCCGAGCCCGCCCCCCACCTTCGCTCTTCCAGCTCCCTTTCCTCCCTTGGCAGTGGCCGCCCCCCGCGACGCTGAGAGCCAGAAGGTCGACATCTGGAAGGACGTGCAGGTGGGAGCGGTAGGGCCAGGAAGGGCCCGCAGGGACTCCGCTAGGCAAGAGCCCTGGCCTTTGGAAGCCCGCGAGGCCTACTCCTGCCCCCTAGGAGCGCAAAGCCCAGGCTTAGAGCTTTGCCAGGGGGCAAAGGTCAGCCAGGCCTGGGAGGGAGGGTAGGGGTTGTTGGTGGAGCCCTCTCCTGCAGACACCCTTTCCCCGCCTCACCCATCTCCACCCTGGGTTAGAACTACTACGGGCAGGTGCTGAAGACATCGAAGGACCTCCGGACTAATGCCTGTGTCACCGTGGCCAGGCCTGTACCCAAGCACATCAGGGAAGCCCTGCAGAATGTGCACGAAGAAGTTACCTTAAGGTAGAATTCCCTGACACATGAAGCCTCCAGACTGTAGCTTTCCCAAAAGATAGTGATGCCAGGCATTAAGGAATTAAGCCATCTCCACCAGGTCACCCTGCTTGTCTTGTCTATTGTAAGCCTCCCAAAGTTCAGCACTGATCATCTTAACTGCTCTGCTTAAGAACCTCCAAAGACTTCCCTCCCTCCCTTCCCATTACAGGACTGTCATATTCCTGGAACCTGACCTTCAAGACTGTCCATAGTATGGCCCTCCCTTCCTAACTGGCTTTGGCTCCCTCTGACGGTTCCTTTCTCACCGCCATCAGCACTGCCTGGCCAGAGAGCAGTTATCAATGTGGAGAGCCTTCCTTTTTCTTTCCATCTTCCCAGCTCTAGCCCTCCAGCACCTCACTAATGTCCTACCCACTTTAGGAAGCCTCTAATCCTTGAGCACCTTCTTCCCAAACTGCTATGGCACTCACTCCTGTGACACTTATTTTGTCAATTAATGAAAAATGTTTTCTGTGCTTATGTTTCACCTTCCAAATTAGAGTAAATACACCTGGGGGAGAGAATTTTTTTCTCAAAAATTAGCTCAGTCCTGGGCCTGAATTAGATGCTAAGCAGCTAATGTCCAAATATTATTCTTTTGTGGTGCTGGGGATTGAACCCAGGACCTGGCATATATATTAGGCAAGTGCTGTACTACTGAGCTCTACCCTTTTTTTAAATTTTAGTTTTGGGACATTATCTTGCTAAGTTGCTGAGGCTGTCCTTGAACTTGGGATTCTCCTGCCTCAGCCTCCTGAGTAGCTGGGATTACCGGTGTGCACCACAGCACCTGGCTCCAAATGTGTTTATTCAGCAAATATTTTAGATGGTTTATTTAAATTGTAATACCTAGCACAGTGCCCAAAAATACTGTGGGAAAGCAGATGTGGTCCCAGCCTTCTTGCAGCTTCCAATTTAGAGGGGGAGACTAAACAACTAAATAGAAATATGAATGAGAGATAAGAGAAAAGAAGAAAAAGAGGAAGGTGTAAGATTTAGTGTTTTCATATCTTCTAGTAGTCTATGGGAAAAAAACCTGTAGTTTCCATTTCTCAGGTATTATGGCTGTGGTCTGGTCATCCCTGAGTGTCTGGAAAACTGCTGGATTTTGGATTTGGGTAGTGGAAGTGGCAGAGATTGTTATGCACTTAGCCAACTGGTTGGTGAGAAGGGCCACGTCACAGGCATAGACATGACTGAAGGCCAGGTAAGGCAAAGATTTGGAGGACAAGGAGGAAAGAATTTTCCGGTGCATTCTTGGAGGGATGAAGTTGGTTCCTTTGTAACTCTAGGGATAATTTTAAAAGGTGGCTATTTAGCAATGATCAATTGTGCCTTTAGTGCCTCTTGTCCTGGAGGCTGAGGACTTCGACCATTAGCGGCTCTTCTGAGAGAATTTACAAAGCCAGAGATTTGATCTGATATATGAATATCATGATGACCCAATGAAGTTTTTCATCTTTTCTTTCCTTCTGCAAACTGACTTGAAAGATTATCATTGAATGAAGGGGTTATTCAAGCAAGACCCATGTAACTGAGAGTTTATGTGCTAGTATGTAGCATATCCTTCAAGGTCCATAGGAATCTTGCATACTTATCTAAGAATACAAGAAATATACTGGGGAGGAAGAATAGAAATTAATTGGATTAGACAAAGGGGAATGAAGAGAAGGAAGGGGGTATGGGAATAGGAAAGACAGTAGTAAGAATAGGACAGAACTTTCCTATGCCCATATATGAATAAAAGACCAATGTAACTCCACTTCGTGTTCAACCACAAGAATGGGATCCTAATTAGAATATTATACTCCATGTATATATAATGTCAAAATACACTCTACTGTCATGTACACCTAAGAAGAACAAATTTAAAAAATAAAGCCCCTCCCACAAAAAAAAAGAAGAAAGAAATATACTTCTTGGGAAAGTGTATTTCACTAGTAATAGTAAAATTTTAGAGAAAATGTGCTATTTTTTTAAATGTTGATTATGAAATCTATATTTTTCTTTCTTTAGGTAGAAGTGGCTAAAAAATACCTTGACTATCACATGGAAAAATATGGCTTCCAGACATCCAATGTGACTTTTATTCATGGCTACATTGAGAAGTTGGCAGAAGCTGGAATTCAGAATGAGAGTTACGATATTGTTATGTAGGCCTATATCCTTACAGTTATGAGTAAAGCCTATTTCCTGTAGAACACACAAATGCCACCACTTTTTGCTGAACTGACTCTCACTTAGGGCACAAAACTAAACTTAGCATAACCTCATTAAGGAAAGGAACTAATCTGAGTTGCTCATGGTCCATTGGCAGCAGAACGCACTAGCTCAAGATAATTTACTTTAAACCAAACCATAATCCAGTGAGCCTAAAAGATCAGCTGGACCAAATCTGCTCATACAACACACACTGACCTACTATCTTTAGTAGAGTCATGGGCTTCTTAATGACAGAACACATTCTGAAAAATGCACTGTAGGCAATTTCCTCATTGTGTGAATAGCCTATTGCCCCTGGGGCCAAGATGAACAAAGCAACATGAGATGAAATCCAGCATATGAAAAAATGATGTGATGGAGATAGGGTACAGAGGAGAAGTATGAGGCTGCTGCTGGGGTAATGTGGCATACCATTTAATAGTAAACGTCTTCTTTGTTAAGTAAGAGTATATGCTAATGATCAATAGTACAGTAAATACATAAACCAATAACACTGTTGTTCATTATTATTATCACGTACCACGCACTATATACAATTGTTTGTGCTCTATTTTTATATGAGTGCAGTAGGTTTGATACTAGCATCACCACAAACACACCAGTAGTGTGTTGTGCTATGTTACTATGCTACAATGTCACTAGGCAATAGGAATTTTCAGTTCAATTATAACCTTATGAGACCACCATCATATTAAATGTATGTAGTCTATCCATCCCCCAAAATGTTATATGGCTCATGACCGTACTATTTTGATGGCAAATTATAGGGTTCTGTGTTTTCTTGTTTTCCTCTGAGTTGTTGTCAAATCATACCTAAGTGACAGCATTAGGAGAACTGCCTTCAAGGAACTTAGTTTATTCACTTGTGGCTTAACAAATGTTGGTCCCAGGTTTCATCTTGTTGCTTGTTTAGCATTAGGGAAAAACAAATAAGAACCCTGCCTCCTTTTTTTCCTCTCTCTCTCTCTTTTTTTTTTTTTTTTTTTTGGTGTGTGTGTGTACTAGGGATTGAACAGAGGCACATTCTACCACTGAACCACATCCCCAGCCATATTTATGTATTTATACATACCAGGGATTGAACCCAGGGGCACTTAACCACTGAGCCACATCCCCAGCCCTTTTATATTTTTTATTTTGAGACAGGGTCTTTTATGTTGCTGAGGCTGGCCTTGAATTTGCAGTCCTCCTGCTTCAGTCTCCCAAATTGCTGGGATTATACGCGTGTGCCACTCACCCAGCAGTGCCTCCTATTTTTTTCTGTACATTCTTACTTGATAACAGTTGGAATTTTAAACACTCCCTATCTCCCTTACCTTGCAAAAAAAGTTGAGTGCAGGAAAGAGAGGAGGGGGGCATTCAGAAGAATGGTGTAGTTTTGACAAAATGGGAACCACCTTTAGGAACATAAAAGATTTGAGTCCTTTTAACATCTTTTCTTTTTTCAGATCCAATTGTGTTATTAACCTTGTGCCTGATAAAGAACAAGTGCTGCAGGAAGTGTATCGAGTCCTGAAGGTGAGGGGAGGGGTGACATAAATGATCTTCAAACATCATTGAGTGCTGATGGAATCAGTCCTGTTCTTTCCTCCTCAAACTGAGGGCTCAATCTCTTTAAACATATCCGCCACATTTAAAAAGGGTGGCAAAAATGTAGAGTGGCAAAACCCCCTAGATGCAGTTTCTTTTCCCTCTCAGTTTGCATAAGATATCAAGTCTGTGTGTCATGATTGTCATTGAACACATTAAAATCTTTGCCTTATTGACTTTTTGTGCTTGCTGCTGGATGTGATCCTAGCATATTGTGTGCAGAGCTGTAGGAACCTTTGGCCTTACTGAAAGGTTGCTATGAATATTCTGTCTGCTAGAATGTGCAGTGTTTCTCAGAGCTATTGATTTCTTATCTCCCAGGATTTCAGATCTTTGGGAAGTTAGAGAAGGTAGAACTTTTACATTAATGTCTTTCTAAAAAGAAAACTTGGAGGAACTGCACAGCCTTCCTGTGTGTCATGAGATGGGTCTTTGTGCTAAAAGACACAAACTTCTGAGATTTGGGGGGTGCTGGGATTTAGGTCAGTGTAGAGCACTTGCTCGGCATGCATGTGGCCTTGGGTTACGTCCCAGGCCTTTTAAAAAATTGAGATTTTTAGTTTTAGTTTAGAGAAATTAAAATATAATACTATAATACAGCTCAAATGAAAATAGGTAGAAATGATCTCACAATGTCTTTGTTAGTGTGCCATTTTATATACCAGCTATCTTCACCAACATGTGCTTAGTAAAAGGTAAACTTTATAGAATATAGACCTCTATACTTTTTTTTTTTTTTTGGGATAGTGGGAATTGAACTCAGGAGCACTTGAACACTAAGCCACATCCCCAGCCCTATTTTTTTATTTTATTTAGAGACAGGGTCTCACTGAGTTGTTTAGTGCCTTGCTTTTGCTGAGGCTGGCTTTGAACTCACTATCCTCCTGCGTTAGCCTCCCAAGCTGCTGGGATTACAGGTGTGCACCACTGCTCTTGGTACCTCTATGCTTTTGAAATCAGCTAAATAAATTCATAAGTTCTGGATCACTCATTTGTCTTGGATTAGAAGAACAACTTTTTTTTTTTTTTGCACTGGAAATTGACCCCAGGGTGTTATGCATGACCGGCAAGCACTCTATTACTGAGCTACACCCCCAGCCTAATATTTTAAAAATATAATGTATAATAATAACATTACAAAAAGTTATATAATTGTTAATGGCTGAGAATCTATGAATACTGTTAAATCTTCTGTTAGTTTTACAACCACCTGGGCCTGTATTTGTTCGGATTGGTTAAAAATCGAGGCAATCCAAGCATCTTTAAGAGAAAGGCACTTAAAGGAAGGAAGACACTTGTTCAAAGTGATTTTATTGCCTGTTGGATAGGGCACTGAAAAAAAAGATTTTGGTTATTGATTGCAGTGAGGGAAGCAGCTGTTATTTGTTCACAAAGGGTCAGCGTGGTCAGCTCAAACACTTGCGTGGGTTTTTGAAATTGATCTTGTGCCCTCATCCATTTTCTCGTTATCTGGGATCAATTTAATCTTTAACCTTGCTTGGACTAACACTGCTGTGTTTCAGCACGGTGGGGAGCTATATTTCAGTGACGTCTATGCTAGCCTTGAATTGCCAGAAGAAATCAAGACACACAAAGTTTTATGGGGTAGGTGTTCTTGGTTGTTTTGTTTTAAGGTAGACGATTATGTACAGAGATCCCTCCTTCCAGAAGGAGGGTATCTGATGTGAGATCAGATGGAGTAAGGCCAGGAGGCTGAGGTTCCGTTCTTTTCCTTTGCCACTCAAAAGGGATGTGATCTTGGGCATTAATTAATCTCTAAAGTTGTTGCTTTTCAAACTGTAAAATGTAAATAATGATACAATCTGGCTGTTATGAAGATTAAATGGGGTAAAGAATGTGAAAAATACTTGGAAAAATACAGTGTGGAAATGAAGGCAACCAGACAGAGTCCATGCCCCCTAAGTCCCCTTAATGTTCTCATCACTGTTATATTGCTTACGCCTTTATTGTCACTTTAATGGAGTCTCTGGAAGTTGAAAATATTAATGCATTTTTGTGGTTAGTCTATGAAATTAAAAGTTGTTTTTATTTTTTTGTTTTGTTTTTGTGGTTCTGGGGAGCGTACCAGGCAGTGTGGGTTCTACCACTGAACCATGTCTCCAGACTTGAGACGGGGTCTCACTATAAGTTGCTGAAGTTGACCTTGAACTTGTGATACTCTACCTCAGCCACTTGAGTCACTGGGATTGCAGGTGTGCGCCACTGCGCCTGACAACAATATGCAGTTTTAATCAGGAGTTTCTAAGCCTTGGAGGATGTTTATCTTAGTTTCTGTTTCTAGGCCTTAGGTTTTAACTAATATTATGTCATAAGTAATTGTATGAGTATTAGTTTCTTCATTACTGCTTTATGAATTGATTAATATGTATTTTTTTAAGGTGAGTGCCTAGGTGGTGCTTTGTACTGGAAGGATCTTTTCTTCCTTGCCCAAAAGATTGGATTCTGCCCTCCACGTTTAGTCACTGCCAATCTCATTACAATTCAAAACAAGGAACTTGAAAGAATCATTGGTAAGGAAAAACAGAAGGGACTATTATAATTGCAGCCTGAATGGTTTAAATTTGGTTATTACTGTCTACTGAGTGATTCTCCCAGGGGAGACTTTGTCATCTGGAAACGTCTATCATGTCTCCTGAATAATGTCCACCCCCTCCAAAAATTTGATATTTAATAAATCATTTTGAAGTCATTCAATAAGTAGAATGAAGTGCTCAGAAAGGTAGTTGGCAGAATGCAAAGAAGAATATCATCTTTATGAAATGTTCTATCCTCATGTGCTGAGCAAAATAATGCTGTTGGAGTGCTGGAGGTGAACCATGGGTATCTCTTTCTAGGTGATTGTCGTTTTGTTTCGGCCACATTTCGCCTCTTCAAACTCCCTAACACTGGACCAACTGAAAGATGCCAAACTGTTTACAATGGAGGAATCACAGGACATGAAAAACAATTAATATTTGATGCAAATTTCACATTTAAGGTAAATAAAAACACACATGGTACTGGGGCAGGTAGGTCAGTGGTAGAGTGCTTCTTGTCTAGCATGTGAGAGATCTTGTGTCAAACCCTAGCACTGCAGGAGGAAGGAAGATGTCCACGGCCTCTGGCAGTCTTTCTACTCTTACTTTTGCTTCAGGCACGTTTTCTTGGCCTTACATTATGTCTTACTTTTATAGCTTTGTTTTTTTTTTGTTTTTTTTTGTACTAGGGATTAAATCCAGGGGTGCTTAACCACTAAGCCACATTCCCAGTCCTTTATAAATATTTTATTTAGAGACAGGTCTTTCTGAGTTACTTAAAGTCTCACTAAGTTGCTGAGGCTGGCTTCAAACTTGGGATATTCCTACTTCAGCCTCTTTAGCTCCTGGCTGTTTGTAAGTGAAGTCAAAAAGTACTTTCCCTATATTTGTTATAAAAAATGTTCTTAAATACAGAAAAATAAAAAAAATTAAAAAATTCAGTGAATACCTATATACCCACTACCTATTTCAGCAACTGAGAACATTTTGTCATATGTTTGCTTCAGCTGTTTGTACAAATAGCTGTACATCTGTATGTATATATATGTACATATACCCATGTGGTCATGTGCTGTGTAACAATGTTTCAGTCAAGAACAGACTGTAAATATAACAATGGTCCCATAAGATTATAACTAGGGCAGGTGGGTAAAAAATTCCTGTCACCTAGAGACAATGTAGCAATCATAAAGTCATAGCACAACATATTACTCATATGTTTCTCCTGTTGTGTATATAAACAAACCTACTCTTCTGCCAGTCCTGTAAAAGTATAGAAAATATAATTATGTATAGAACATAATATTTGATAATGATGATAAATGGTGATGATATTACTGGTTCACATATTTACTATAGTTTACTTTTTATTGAAAAAAAATTTTGTTTCAGTGCTAGAGATTGAACCCAGGACCTTTAGCATGTTAGGAAAGCACTTTACCACTGAGCCATATCCCTAGCCCTTTTATTGATATTTTAAAGTATACTTCTTAAAGAAAAAAAGTTTATTGTAAAAGAATATGTTGCATTATGCCAGTAACTTGTGCATATATCTCATTATTTACTCTTTTGATTTTATTTTATTTTGTGCTTGATTTAATCTTGTATTGTTTCATTCATCATGGCCCTGGGAGCAATGAGTATATGTATTATGCGTATATACACCTACACAGCACATAGCCTAGATGTGTAGTAGGCTATACACCCAGATGTGTGTAAGTACACTGAATGAAATTACCTGAGTCAAGATGAGACCCTGTCCAAATTAAAAAAATCAAAATTACTGGGGATGTAGCTTAGTGATAAAATGCCCTTGGGTTCAATCCCAAGTGCCAAAAAAGAAAAAAAAAAAGGAAAAGAAAAAATTTTCATATAGAGAAGTGAGATGGAAAAGAAAAGAAGCACTACATAACAGTATTTCAGGGTTTTTTTTTTTGTTGTTTGTTTGTTTTTGGTACTAGGGGTTGAACTCAGGGGCACTTGACCACTGAGCCACATCCCCAGCCCTATTTTGAATTTTATTTAGAGACAGGGCCTCACTGAGTTGCTTAGCACCTCACTGAATTGCTGAGGCTGGCTTTGACCTTGCGATCCTCCTGTCTCAGTCTCCTGAGCCACTAGGATTACAGGAATGCACCACTGTGCCTGGCAGTTTTAACTGCATCATGGAACTCAAGAGTTTTAGAGTTTAATGATAACACAATTTACTCTTTGTAGGGTAGACTTTGTTTTCTCAAGATGGAAAAGTATTGACTTTGGAATCAGATACCTGGGTTCAAATTCTGCCTCTGATATTTATTATTTGGGTAAACTAGAATAAGTCACCAAAATTATAATAGAGCAGTTTGCTCTACTACAAAGTAGGAATAATAATAACCAATTTTGCTAAGTTTCTGTAGAGATTAATAATCATATAGCAAAATACCTGGTACATATATACTGAAATATCAGTAAATAAGGTGCAGCCATTATTTGTTCCAAAGATAGAAGGACTTAACTGTCTTCATCTTCTGAGTTTTTGATCCAAATCTTATCTTCATGATTATTACACACTGGTGGAGTGGAACCCTCAGTGTTGCTTCAAGTGCTACTTGGTGTACAGTCAGGTCCCTTGGAGTTGCATAGCAAAGTGGAAAGGACTTTGAGGTCATTATCTGCTCTAGGGGCTTTCAAAACAACATTTTAATAGCATTTAAAAAAAAATCTCCTTTAAAATACCATGTATCAGGGGCTGAGGTTGTGGCTAGCGGTAGAGCACTTGTCTAGCACGTGCAAGGCCCTGGATTTGATCCTCAGCACCACATAAAAATAAATAAAATAAAGGTATGTATATATGTGTGTGTGTGTATATATATATATATATATATATATACACACACACACACACACATACACACACACACACACACACATATATATATATATATATATATATATGTATATATATATAAAAGTAAATTGTTTAAAAAAAATACCATGTGTCAGGCATTGCTTTACATAACCCATACCTCCCAGGCACTCTGGGACTCAAGGAAATACTATTTAAAAACCACTCATCCAAAGCCCATCCTTTAGTAATAAATTCAGTGACATTCAGCAGTGATTTCTACATCTGTCTGAGATACTGGAACAATAAATGTCCTTCTTTAGCACTGTCACCAAAGAAAGATTAATTATGACACTGTTCAGTTTCATCTATGAATACACATGAAATTAGTAGCAGGGTCTGAACATGAGAGAAAGCTACATCAGAAGGTATGGTGTGGTCTTTTAATCCTAAAATACAATCATTAGTAAAACTTCTGGGCATTTTCCTTCTAATGAGACAAATATTTGTTTTATGCTGCTCTTTAGGAAGGTGAAATTGTTGAAGTAGATGAAGACACAGCAGCTGTCTTGAAGAATTCACGATTTGCTCAAGATTTTCTCTTCAGACCAATTGGAGACAAGTTGCCAGCATCTGGAGGCTGTTTTGTGTTAGAGTCAAAGGTTGGTGTGACTTTCAGTTCCCTACCTCAGAGAACCATTTAAAAAAATCATCATACAGCTGGGCCCAGTGGCATATACCTGTAATTCTAGTGGCTTGGGAGTCTGAGGCAGGAGGATCACAAGTTCAAAGCCAGCCTCAGCAACTTAGCGAGACCTTGTATCAAAAAAATAAATAAATAAATAAAAAGAAATGGAGGGGCTGGGGATATAGCTCAGTTGGTAGAGTGCTTACCTCGCATGCACAAGGCCCTGGGTTTGATCCCTAGCACCACAAAAAAAAAAAAAAAAAAAAGAACTGGAGATGTAGCTCTGTGGTAAAGCACCCCTAAGTTCAATACTCAGTACCAAATAAATAAATAAATAGTATTTTAATTTTGATGAACTCCAGTTTATCTATTTTTTCTTTTGTTGCTTGTGCTTTTGGTGTCATATCTAAGAATCCATTGCCAAATCTAAGATCAGAAGTTTATTGTTTTCACAATTTAACTTAACATTTTTTTGTGGTATTGGAAATTGAACTCAGGAGCATTCTACCTCTTAGCTACATCCCCAGTCTTTTTATTTCTTTATTTTTGAGACAGGGTCTCACCAACTTTCCCTGGCTGACCTCAAACTTGTGACCCTCCTGCCCCAGCCTCCTGAGTAGCTGGGATTAGAGATGTGCACCACCAGGCCTGGCTCACATTTAAATTTTTAAATCCTTTTTGGAATTTATTTTAGCATAAATATTGAGGTGGGATGATAATATATATGCAACCTGTTACTTGCATGCGTTACTCTAAGGGAATTTGGAAACAGTGCTTTCCAAGTGTATGTCCATATGTCTGATCTCATACTGTCCCCAGTCTAGGCCCCATTCGAGTATGTGAAGTGCTTTGTGAAGTCCCAGGGGACAACAGGCAAGGTTAACATGGACTAGTAGTCATCATGTCCATTCATACCAAGTTGCAGAACAAAGAATATGTAATTGAGGTTCTGTGTAGGTCCAAGATCAAGTTTCCCAGATAATATACATCTCAAAGAATTAGGGTTTTACCCAGTTTAATGTGGATGAATTTGGTGGCTGAGAAGTAGCTCATCTCCAATGGCTATGGGATCAAATATACTCCCAATTGTGGTCCCTTGGACAAGTGGCAGGCCCTGCACTCAGAAGGGCTTCCACTGTGTTGCCCCTCTGCAGTCACACTCAATAATATATCCTTTATCCTGTCCCCCCAAATTTTTTCCCTGATATTAGCTAGTTCAACTTTTCTTATTTATTGAATAATCATCATTTCTCCACTGTATCCTAATTTCTTAAATGTGTATTTAGGACAGTAGTATTTTAAAATGAAGCTGAGCTTTGGCGGCACTTGCCTGTGATCTTTGTGACTCCAGAGGCCAAGTCAGGAGGATTGCAAGTTCAAGGCCAGACAGGGAAACTTAATGAGACTGTCTCAAAAAGTGTTGGAGGGGAGCCTGGGGAGGTAGCTCAGTTGTAGAGCACCCCTGGGTTCAATCCCTATTACATACATACATACACACACACAAAAAAAGATTATTTTCTAAAATATTTTAGCTTTATATTTAGAATTATTCTAGTAACTGCTTTATTGATATAGTATTTTCTAAAGTATTTTATCACCACTTATGCCAAGTAATCTCTCACAACTACTCTATGAAGAAGGCAGATAAGTAGTTGTGGCAGATACAAGTGTCCCTTTCTTTCCCCCTCATATATTTTTACTTTTCTCCCATTCATGCTCTTATAATTATTTTACTGTTCCTTCATTCATTTGTAATATTGTTTTGTTTAGAATAGGCTTAGTAATGGATTACAAGCTTGCTTTTATCTGCCAGGGCTGCTCCCAGCAGTCACCAGGTCCTAACAGTAGTAGTACACCTCAAGGCACTGAACCTTGGAAGTCCAAGGAAATGAGATTCTGTTGTTGCTGGGGCAGGATGGTAGCATAGCATGGCAGTCAAGCACACAAGCCTTGGACTCCTAAGTATAAATGCTATTCTGCCACTCAGCTCTGATCTTGATAAGTGACCTAACCTCCTCAAACTTTATGTGTATTAGGGAAGTAATAACTTCTTCCCTCAGGTCATGAGGAACAAATGAAATAAGCATGTGAAATGCCTCTCCCAGTGCCTGGCACAGAGTACATACCCAAGAAACAGCAGGCATAATTATGGATTGTATACAGAAATAATCTTGGTTGCTTAGACCTGTGTTCTAAGTATTTGAGTTCTGACCAGAATCTTTTGCAGAATTCTTTTGTTGTTCTCCCATGTGTTCTATCCTCTGGCCTCAGAAATTCTGCAATCTTTTTCTATGAATTTTTCTTTTCTGTTGCTTTTATTTATTTATTTATTTTACAGTGCTGTGTATGGAACCCAAGGCCTCCTGCATGCTAGGCAAGTGCTCTACTGAGCTCCATTCCCAGCTCTTGTTGCTAGTATTTTGTAGTAATTTTGAATACTTTGAGTGTACAGCATTGTACAAGTATCTCTTGTATGTTTTTCCTCCCTGTTTTGTTACCTCATAAATAGTCTTTTACAGTCCTGTTATGGAACAACCTAGACTCTATATAAGGACGGGCACCATGGTTCTGTGGGACCAAAGAAAGAGAGACAGACAGATCCAGAATTGCACAAAATGCCATTTATTGGGGAAATTACTGAGTGAAGGTATGATCTTGAGCAGCAACAATATGAGGTGGATCCTCAAAATTTGGGTTAGAAAGAGGAGCATATATATGTGTTAGGACAAAAATGACCTCATCCTAACTACAATGTACCTGTTTTATCTTAAGCTAGCAGCAAATAGTCAGGGACATCCCAGGGTTCTGTTGTAAAACTCTACCATACCACTCTAGTGGTATTGTCCCGTGGTACTTTGCTAAGAAACTATGTAGAAAAAACTGACTAGGGCTACCCTGGGGCAATCTTGATGGTTATGACTCATGGCGGCTGCTGTCAAGCTGAATCCATGCATTTCATCCCTTACTCCAACTCTTATAGCCTTACACACATACCCTCTTCCCTTGACACTGGAATCACAAGAGTAGTTCACCTTCACTTGTCAGGGGAGAGGCAGTGGACATTCCAGGTTCTGCCTCAAGGTTATCTGCACAGTCCTCCTCCTGTCCCTGCAGGTAGCTGGGGACCTCATTCTCTACTGATTCTATCTGATTCCATTGCATCAATGATACCTTGTTAACTGGTGAAGATTGTACTGTGTATTCATTTACGCATGAAGAAATGGGCTGTCTACCCCCAGGAGATCCAGGACCCTGGGTCATCCCTGGTGTTCCTAGGGGTGGTCTGGTCATGTAAGACCGATTTGATTCTAGGCATGGTACCAGATAAAGTGCAAACCTTCCCTTTACCCAGTATGGTAAGAATATACAGGTCTGTGTAGGGATAGCCCACAGGCAGGCTCTAGGTCTCCCGTACCAAGCTTGCCAATGCAGTTAGATAACATCTGTACAGCAAGTGGCATGAGTTGAGCTCTCGGGCAAGAAAGAGGATGAAAGTTACCTGTAGGTTTCTAGTCTCAACTTTAGAAAGAAACTAAACCTTCTTGAGAATAGTAATTTCTAGCAATGTACAATATCCTGAAGTCAACTTAAGTCTCAGGGCAAACTAGCCCATGTGTAAAGGGGTAGGGACCTGTTTTATTAGCCTCAACCTGCTATCAGGCTGACCCCCACTGTTCATGAGCTGTGGATGCCAATAAGTCTAATTATCTATGAAACTGCCTCATCACCCCAGTTGGCCACAGCAGGCCTATGATCTCACAAGGCCTAAGATCTCATATCTTAAAATGTCCGGGATATAGATTAATCCAACAGGTGCAACCCAATTGTCTGGGCTGCTATACCACTGATACCATGTAGCTTAAGACAGAAGAAAATCAGAGCAGCTAATGGCAGAATTAGGGCAGTATGGCTGGTGGTCACTCATGGGCCATGGCTGCTGGTTGTCTGTACCAACAGCCGGGTGGTGTATGGAGGCCTTACAATGTGGCTGGCACAATAGCGAATGAGGAAATGGTCTGTTGGTCTCAGGCAAACCTTTCCTAGCAGGAGAGCTTATCACACTGCCACTGTCAAAGGTCTTGAGCAGTTAAGTGTGATGTATGGATACCTGAGCCAGATTGACAGTGACCAAGGCACCCATTTCACAGTACATGCTGTCCAAATTGGGCCCAAACACATGATGTGTCATGGCACTCTCGCTTGCCGTGTAGCCCTCAAGCAGAGGGGTTGGAGTTCCCCCACTCCCTGTGATTAGGGCCAGGAGGTGCAGATTTACCTTTACAACACCCTATTAAACATTTGTTTTCCTCCAGAGCTGTGATGATATTCTTCCTGGAACCTGTTCATTTATCAAACCCAAATTAATGCCTCCTGACTGGTTTGGTTCCTGCAACTTCTGGTAGAAAAGGTTGACTGTTGTTATTGTTTACACAACCACTCTCTGTCTCTTTTTGTGCAAAGAAGCAAGGCAGGGTGCATCTGTTTCTTTTACCGGGGGAATGTTGGGCACTGAAGCTTAGGCAGATGTATCACCTGGTTTAATGTCCTATAATTGACAGCCATTCTCTTAAGTTTTATCTGGCTTTTAGCCAAGTGGACAGGGCTAGTGGAGGCACTGTGACAGGTTGTAAACTCTCAACCTAATTCTTTTATCTCTTTTCTAGTCTCAGCATGTCTGCCTGACAGTTTGAACTGCCTGGTGTGTTGTACCTACCTCAGGGCAGAAAGGCTAGCAGGCTCCTGCTTGGCTTCCCCCTCAGTGTCACCTTTGCTCCCCGATCCCTGAGTCAGAATTCCCCCATGGAGGTCTGTAATGTCTTTCCTGATACAGTGTCTGTCCCAAGAATGCTCTCAGGGTCTGGAGAGATTGCCCCAAACATGGAGCTTCTTCTCTTCTTGGTATAGCAATACTTGTTTTACTCTGATGGTTTTATACCAGATCTAGAAGAATTACCTAGGACCCTGGAAAACATTCTGGGTTACCACAGATTAGTGTACAGTCAGTGCCCGTATCTGGTACAGTGATGGTTTTTCCCTTGTTCTGCCCCGCTAGTCACAGGGAGTAGGGGGATTCCAACCCATGGTAGCAATGCCGGATCAGAAGCTACTCATCTTCCTCCATAGATAAGTAATGTTGGAACTGTTGTTTAGGCTTAAGATCTTTCTAGAAGACTGCCACGTTATCTACCTTTCCTCTGCAGATGCTGGCACCAAGCAAACATGCCGCATCTGCTTTCTGGTTATCTTAACCAGCCCTACATTTCTTTTCTCTCGTATTTTTATTTGTCCCCTTTTCCTATTAGACTTTGTGACAGGTCTCACCCTGTCCTGGTCATGTTCAGTCTCCCAAGTTGGCATAGCCTCATCCACATTGTAAACATCCCGTGGAGACAGGAGGGCTGAGGAGGGGGAAGAGAGGACCTTCCAAATGCCATTCTCAAAGGGCATTTGGAACAAATTCTGGTTGTAAAAAGGCTTTTTATCCAGGTCCTTGAAACACCTGGATGTAAATGGCTTGTCATATGCCCAATTTCGGCAGAATATCCTGGGCTTCCACTATACTATCCATAGTCAGCCTTTCCCCATAGCTGTCCCTCCGTTTCTCCTATTCTCCTGGGCATCTGTAACCACCCTGTCACTCTCAACTTCTATAAGATCATTTTTTTTTTTTTTTTAGATTCCACATAAGAGTGACATCATGTGGCACTTGTCATTTCTGTGCCAGGTGTATTTCAGGTTTCGAGTTTTTCAAATGGGAATAATTGACACTGGAGGAAGATCTAAAAAATCAAACAGCTGTGTGACCTAGAAATGTAACCTTGTGCTCTTGGAGGAGGGCGTTCTTATCTTTTTATGGAAGACTTTGATGATTAACCCTAGTGTCTGCCCAGCACCAGGATCTGGTAGACTTGTCCCCCATCGTTGCCTCAATGGAGGAAGGAATGGTGCTGCCTCTTACTGTGGGTTCACTCAGGGGAGACTTTTTAAGAACCTTTTTACCTTTTCTTTTCTTCTTTTTTAATACTGATAAAGTGTATTTTGGTATTAAAAGTTACTAAAATGTAGCATCTGTAATTATACAAATTGAATTTGTGCTATAAACTATTGCCTCAGGTTATAGTCATTCCAGTAACAACATGAGTAATGATAGCAGTGACATAGGGGAGCTAATTTTCATGGAGCAATTAGAATGTTCAAGACACTATATCAGCTGGACGCAGTGGTACACGCCTGTAATCCTAGGGATTTGGAATCTGAGGTAGGAGGAGTGCAGGAGGATCACACGTTCCAGGCCAGACTGGGCATCTTCCCAAGACTCTGTCTCAAAATTAAAAAAAAAAAAAAAGATCTGGGGATGTAGCTCAGTGATAGAGCACCCCAGGTTCAATCTCTACTATCAGAAAATAAATAAACAAAAAAAAAGTAAAAAAATACCATGTCTTTAGTCCTCATAAAAACCTTTTTTTGTTGTTGTTTATTTTTTATTTTGAATTTTACTTTTATTTGGTGTAGACAGCAAAGTATTTCAATGCCAGATGAGGTTGGGCTATCAAGTAAGTTACAAAGCAGAAAAACAAATGGGGTTTTCTCAACTTTTTGTTTAAGAGTTGTGAATAAATTATTGTGGGACTGAAAATTTTATTTATAGTTTATTTCTTCATTTTGTGTCTTGTACCAACAACACCATTATTATGTAAACTAGCTAAGATTTTTTTTTTTGTACTGGGGATTGAACTAGGGGCACTTTACTACTGAGCTACATCTCTAGTCCTTTTTTATTTTTTTAAATTTTATTTTATTTCGGGGCTGGTGTTGTGGCTCAGTGGTAGAGCACTTGCCTAGCATGTGTGAGGCCTTGGGTTCTATCCTCAGCACCACATAATAATAAATAAATAAAATAAAGATATTGTGTCCAACTACAACTAAAATTTTTTTAATTTATTTAAAAAATTCTTTTTAGTTTTCAATGGACCTTTATTTTATTTATTTATATGCAGTGCTGAGAATCTAACCCAGTGCCTCACAATTGCTAAGCAAGTGTTCTACCATTGAGCCACAACCCAGCCCTTTTTAAAATTTTTATTCTATTTTTATTTTAAGTTGTTGATGGACACACAATACCTTTATTTTATTTGTTTTTATTTTTATGTGGTGCCAAGGATCAAACCTAGTGCCTCACCCATGCTAGGCAAGTGCTCTACCACCGAGCCACAACCCCAGCCCAATTTTTTTGTTTTGAGACAGGGTCTTACTAAGTGGCTGAGGGCCTCACTAAGTTGCTAAGGTTGGCCTTGAACTTGGAATCCTTCTGAATCACTGGAATTACAGGCATTAATTCCGTGCCCAGCCTCAGAAGGCCATTTAAGACATTCAACAACTTGACCTTAGTACTGTCCTCATGGCAGTAGGTACTCCACACATAGAATTAACAAGTATCTGTTGCACAGGGCCTTACACACAGTAGACACTACATAAATGCAGAGGGAAGAAAGGGGGTCTCAGAGTGCTGAAGTCACCTGCCCCTTATAATAACCTTTATTATCCTCATCTTACAGATGAAGAACTGAGGCTCAGAAAGATAAACTTACTACACCAAGGTCACACAGCTAGAAAGTGGCGAATTTGAACCCACGTCTGGTTCTAGAAGCAGCAGCACCACGTTTAGTCAGTATGTTGCACTGTCTCTCCACAGTCATATTTTTCCTAGAATTACCTACCTATAATCCCAGCTACTTGGGAGGCTGAGGCAGGAGGACTGTGAGTTCAAGGCCAGCCTTAGCAATTTAGTGAGACTATCTCAAAAAAACCCAAACCAACTAACATTAAAAGAGAAACAAACCAACCAACCTAGCGTTGAGTTATAACTCAGTGGTAGAATGCTTGCCTAGCATGAAGGAGGTCCTGTGTCCAAGCCTCAGCAACCAGGTTGGGTAGGGGCAGGGGATAAAACCCCCCAAAGATTTAAATGAAATTTACCTTGAAAGTAGAAGATTCAAGTGTGCCTTTATGGTGCCAAATGGAAATATAAATGTTGGGTACATCAAAACCTCTCTAACTTGTTCTTTCATTTTGATTTGCCCTTTGACAGGATATTATCACAGATCCATTCAAGCTTGCAGAAGATTCTAACAAAAAGCCCAAGTGTGCCTCCAGTGTTGTTGGAGGCTGCTGTGGCAAAAAGAGAAGCTGCTAAATAAATCTACAACCAACTAGGAGACCACGCGACTGAAGAACAACAGGCTGCATGTTTTTAGCTTGCTCTTCCCCATAGCACATAGGAATAAATGGTAAAAAAGGCAAAATGTTTTGGATTACTAATAAAAAAATAAGTGAATTATTTTAGAAGGTGTTGATTAAAGGTTCACAGCAAATCACCTAAAGTTTAGACTAGTTAAGCTGTTTTTATTCTATTTCTTCAGTAATTCAGAGTTCTAGTGCCACCTAGTGGTCAGAAGTGGAACTGAGTGAAGCAGTCCTATGGCTGGGCCAAGGGGCAAGAAAGGCTTTGGAAATAGAGTTGGCAGAGGACCTCAGGAAGAACGTCTTTCTTCTGGCCTGCTGGGCAGCACCTTTTGGACTTTTCTCCATGTTTTCTCTAAACAAATCTACTACTGAAGTCAGGTTAATCATGCCAAAAAATTGGCAAGTCAAATTTGATAGGCATGCTCTTAATAACTCATTTTTTGGTACTGCAGATTGAGCCCAGGGATGCTTTACTACTGAACAACATCCCAGCCCTTTTTATTTCCTTATTTTGAAATAAGTGTTGCTAAGTTGCCGAGGCTTCCCTCAAACTTGCGATCCTCCTGCCTCAGTGTTGAGAGCCACAGCTGAAGGGGCCCCAGCAAACTTCCAGCTGCGGGCTGATGATTGGCTCACAGCAGCCCCAGCAACATCTAGCTGATTGGCTCCTCTGCCGTGATGCTCATTGGGCTGTTTCCCTGCCCTTTCAGACCACGGAGCTGCTCATTGGGGGACTTTTTTGGCTCCGCCCATGTGACCCAGCCAATCGGCCTCAAGAGCAGGAGGATTGTGGGAGGTGGAGAGAAGCTGGTGTTGGAGGGAGAGGCTTGTGGGAAGCCGGTGGTGGCAGTTGAGGCTCTGAGGGTTTTTCCTGAGAGGCTGTTTTGTTTGGCGTGTGTGGTTCTAAAAATAAAGTTCCTTTCTTTTGACAAGTGGCTCCTGAATCTTGCCCAGCCAGACTGCGACACCTCAGCCTCCTGAATTTGCTGGGGTTACAGGTGTGTGCCACTGCACCCTGTGAGATTTTAAACCAAATACTTCTATCTTTTTCTTTTTGTGCAGTTGAATGTAGAAAACAATGAATAAAATTGTTGACCCTAATGATTGATGGCATAGTGACTATCTGTGGGAAATCCTAAGTGGATCAGGAATAAAGTTCCATTGTTTTTAAGGAGAGTTAAGAGAAGGTAAAGATGGTAGCTTTTCTCCTCCTTTGTAAAGCTCCCCTGGTTAAACTTTTAGGAAAGTGTTGGATTTAGTTCTGGATTCCATAGTTAAAGAAAAAGGTTAAGAACATTGAGGGGAGATTCGGTGATGATTAAGTAAGTTGAAATCCAGCTGTACTTTGAAGTTTTTGTCCAGGGACACAGAAAAGGTATAAGTCATGGTCCTTGTCATAATGCTAATCATGCCAAAAGATAACTCAGAAGCGGATAACTCATTTTTAAATAACAGCCTTCAACCAAAGAAGGGTTTTAAAACCTCAGCCAGTTGCTCTGAGCTCTGTGCAATAGAACAGGGGCGTGGGGAGCTGGCAAGGCCCAAGGAAAACTTTTTTTTTTTTTTTTTGGTACTGGGGATTGGACCCAGGTGTGCCTAACCACTGAGCTACATTCTCAGCCCTTTTCATCTTTTATTTTGAGACATTTGAGACAAGGTCTGGTGAGTTGCTTATGGCCTCACTAAGTTGATGAGGCTGGCCTCAAACTTGAGATCCTCTTGCCTCAGCCTTCTAAATTACTGGGGTTATAGGTATGTGTCACCATGCCTGACCCAAGAGATTTTTTTATTAGTAGTTTGAAAATCTTTTGGCCTGTAAAACATTGAAATAGATTCTGACAACAGACTCCTCTTTTTTAAAAGAAAGCTATTTAATAGGGACTGGAGATATAGCTCAGTTGGTAGAGTGCTTGCTTCACATGCACAAGGCCCTGGGTTCACTCCCTGGCACCTAAATAAACAAATAAGTAAATAATAAAAGAAAGATGTTCAAAATAAGAAATTCTGGTTTCTAAGTAAGTTCAACTCTAGTTTCTTATTTGCTGCTACAGACAAAGGAAAGAATAGTGTTTTTGTTTTGTAGTTGTTGTTTGTTTTGTGATACAGGGGATGGAGCCCAGGGCCTTGCACATGCTAGACAAGCACAGTATCACTGAGCTACATCACCAGCCTTAGTGGTACCTTTTAAGCACTATTCATCTTGGTGATCTTGATTTTAAACAGTGCTTTATTGGTTCCAGAGCTCCATGTCTGCCCAGTAATAACTACTTCAGCATTAGAATGGGTTAGCTGGGATTAAGTACATTTTGCTAGCCGTGAGCACAAGATGGCCGGGAAATGATGAAATGATGAAAAAGTGTTCTGGTTAATTGGCTTATTAGGCCTTTCTAAATTTAGGATGAGGAGAAATTAGCCTTTTACTTATTATAAATGCTCAGTTCCCCAAGAAGATATTGAATAATGAGACCAGACTGGAAATTCACATTCTTTTCCTCAGAATGACATATTTGATACATTATTGTCCAAACAAAGTATACATTTTAAAAATTATACTTGACTTAGAATCTGGAAAAGAGTATGTAGTAGACAATATGAAATTAAAATAGAATAATTAAAGTGACTCAGATATGCTATAAATGTTTTTTTAATTTTTATTTTTTAGTTGTTGATGGACCTTTATTTTATTTATTTGTATGTGGTGCTGAGAATCAAACCCATGCTAGGCAAGTGCTCTACCACTGAGCCACAACTCTAGCCCCTATAAATGGTTTTTGTTTTTGGACACTGGGGATTGAACCCAGGGGCACTTTACCACGGAGCTACATACCCCAGGCCCCCCCCCCCCTTTTTTTTAGTTGTGGATGGACACAATACTTTTATTTATTTATTTATTTATTTATTATTTTCTAAAAATATTTTTTAGTTGTTGACGTACCTTTATTTTTTATTTATGTGTGGTGCTGAGGATTGAAGCCAGTGCCTCACATGTGCTAGGCAGGCGCTCTATCTACCACTGAGCTATAGCCCTAGCCCTCCAGCCCTTTTTATATTTTATTTTGAAACAAGGTCTCCTTAAGTTGCCCAGGCTGATTTGGAACTTGTGATCTTCCTGCCTTAACCTCCCAAGTAGCTGGGGTTACAGGTATGCACCACTGCACCTGGTAGCTTTTAAATATTCCAAATAAATGAAACAGACAACTAGGAATGGAAAGGCTTTGTGAGAGTGAGAGGCAGTATGAGCTATGATGAACGAAAACCCTGATGCCAAACTTTATGCTTTCTTCTTTTTCCTCACAGCTCTGCCCCTATCATTTCGGCCTTAGGAATATTATTTCACATTTCTGTGTCTTTTTATCTTCATTAGTATGTGGTTCTTTGAAAGAACGCCTAGCACATGGTTTAGATTACCATCAGTTTAGATCTATCAGGTTGCAGCGTGTGACAGCAGGACCTGCTAGAGACCAGTGCTCTCTTGACAGGAGGCAACTTTCCCCTCAATATCTTATTATGACATTTTTCAAGTATACAGAAAACACAGAATTGTGATCTCCCCTGTACCTCCATCTAAATTAAACAGTTAACCTGGGCTGGGGCTGTAGCTCAGTGGTAGAGCGCTTGCCTAGCATGCATGAGGCACTGGTTTAGATCCTCAGCACCTAATAAAAATAAACAAATAAAATAAAGGCATTATGTCTATCTACAATTACAAAAAAATTAAATAAAATAAAGTTGTGTTCAAAAGATTGATTTAAAAAAAAACAGCCTTTTGTGATTATTCTATTCATGTCAACATTATACTTACTAATAGCAAAGTCACAGAAACAGGGGCCTACTTCTTCCCCAGCCATAAACCCCTTTCAAATGACATTGGACTTAAAGAGTTTAAGGAGCAGATTTTCTCTTAATTGATTATTGTATTCAATACAGTGATTTTAAGGCTTTCATTATCACAGGGGAGGATTCATTTAGAAATCATGGAAACCTGCAGAGGTGCTTCAGTTTACCAGCTGGGGGGGTCCCTACTCCCACCTCCATCCATGCATAGTTGAAAAGGGCATGGCTTTGTGCCAAGGTAGCAGCAGAGCTTGCTCCTGCCATCATTTGTGCCTCTCTGAGGTTGGACGCAGGGAGGCATCACTTATTCTGTCACATTAGGATGAGAATTCTCATGAGTTTGGCAAGGAATGTGAACCTATCTATCCATTCTTTCATTTATCCAATAAAGAGTAATTAAGCACTGCTTTGTACCAGGCACTATCCTGGGTACTGGCTGCTAAAGTGGAATATTATGAGCCCGGTGGGCCCAGGGGTTCAAAACAGCTGAGTGTTTCCTAAACTTTGCTGACGCCTGTTGTAACTTCTGTGCTTTGTCAAGGTTCTCCAAACACACACTGCAACTTGGGTCCACCCAGTTTCTTTTGTGGACTTTGCTGTGGGAACCTGTAGAGGGAGATCTAGATCACAGTAAGAAGTTGGAATTTACTCCTGATCATAATCTACCACTTAAGCTTTACTTTATTCCAGTCTCAACTGCTGATCCTGCAATTCCTGTAAGCATAGCTCTCACCGAGGTTAAGGCCAGTGTTGTGTGAATGTAAGTTCTGTACTTCATCTCCTCCTGCAGAGGGAGCCTTGCTTGTCTTGGACTAGTGACTGAACCAACCCCCTTCCCCAGCAGGAACAGGCTAGTCCTCCTGTCATGTAGCAGGGTCATGCTACAGTGACAAGCTACAGGTGAGGGGAAAATCAACCTGGAACAAAAATGTTCTGTCCTGAGATAACTATGCACCTCAGATAATAACCATATGTCTTCACCGTCCAGAAGACAGACAGAGTAAAATGGCAGAATGGTAAGTCAATAATGTTCTGGGTGCACAGTAAGCCAGACTTGGTTCTGCTAAGTTTTTAACTGGGCCTAATGCCCGTGACCTTCTCACTGGTGGGATAAAAGTGATGCAGGAGACAGAAAGCAGGTATTCCTTTTAGAACTGGCTCTGCTTCTGAACTAGTTATTGATCTTGGGAACATTTGTTCACCTCAGGATTTCTTTTTCCCATTGGTAAAGTGAAGGCATTGAACTCAGAATACTCTGAGTTTCTATTCAAGTTTAGAAACAGATTTATGGGTCTAGATTCTATAGAGGTCACAGTGGTTTAAACATTTTTTTTCATGAGTTGCTCATATTCATAAATCAGTAGGTTTTACATAAAATTCAAAATTCTGGCTCTTCTTGAGAAATCAGCAGTACTGGCAAGACCAGCCGTGGAGGGAGTTCTACATGGGTACAATTACCAGAGCTAAGCAATGGCTTTCCCTTCAGGTGGAGAGTGTCCCTTTAGACAGTTTACCACCCCCCATGCACCCAGTCACTTTCACTTGATCCCTGTAGGCTTCTGAGTCTGTGACCTTTTTTGTAGGATTACAATTAGCACATTTTCATCAAAGTCACAAGTGAGGTTTTTTCCATTGCAGTTCCAATGATGGCAGGTCTGAGGACTCATCTATGTCACTGACATATATTTAATTCATTATAAGCAGTAGCCAAGAAGGGCTTGTGCAGCTTTTCAGGGAGGCTCACAGGAGGGAACCAGGGTTCTGGGGCTGCTTATGGTAATTTGACATATAACTCAGAGCCTAATTATGTCAGGTGAACAGGCCTGGACAGTTTATTCTCTGTTCCCAGAATTAACAAGCTTCCATCGCATCACTTCCTTTGTGAATATCAAATGAGCTTCCTCTGGACCCCAATGCCCAAATGTCAAGTGCCAGAGAGGAAAGGTTTGCACAGCAAGTGCAGGATGACTTGTGTGACTTCTAGGCCACGTAGTTCATCTTTTATTAACTGTTTTTATTTTATTTTTCCAATTAACTTTATTCCTTTCAACTGGATCTAACTAAAGAAATGGTACAAAGGAGGTGTTTTTATTTTTGCTTTTAAATAATAGATCAGAAGCCCAGGAAGCCACGCAACCCTTTAAAAATGATGATTTCTCGTGGTAACGGGAACATACAATTGCTCTGTGCAGATATAATTCAAACCAAATATTCTAAAAGTGTATCATTTACTGAAAACAGCTCCCTCATACTGCACTCACAATGCT